TGGCAACTTCCAGTAATTTTATCTGGCTCTTGCTTTCAGCCATTTCTGCAAGACAAATGAGTTATAAACTGTTGGAATAAAGGTTTTTTAAAATTCAAATATGCTTAGTAAATAGACACGTTTCTTTAAAACCTTTCCCTCCCCATCTTCAGCTTACAGCAGATCTCACTTTGCTCACTCAATTGCCTTGGGGCAAGCCAGCAGTGACCAGCAGGTCACCGTGCCTCAGCTCCTGTATCTGGACATTGAATTGCACTATGGGTTTAGACCCTCCACATAAAGAATCATTGCAGTCGTCACAGGGCTGTGACAGAGCGGAAGGAGGTCAGTGAAATCAGGGCCCCGTTGGTGTGATTCACTCCCTGACGTTGTTTGAGGTTTCCCTACAGGACAGGGCAAGGCTAAGGGCCTGCTCCTGACCAGCATAAGCAAGATTAGCTAGGATAGTACCTGTGTGACAATAACTCCATCTTGGCATTCGCAGACTATTTAAATGCTTAGATGAAAGGCTCTGCCTAAGTGGGGATGCTTTCTCTGTGATCAGCAGGGCAGATGCGTGTCTGCAAAGCACAGGAGCTGTTGATTCAGCCCTTTTGTGTGTCAGAACCGCCATCATGGGAAGGCATTTCCCCCATTTCTGTCCATTTTTCCAAATCGACACTGCTGCCTCGAGCTCACAAGTGCAGAGGGACTGGGAACATCACTCATCCTGGAATACTTCAGGAAGTAAGGGCAGTTAAGGAATGGAAATAAACAACAAAACTATGCCTTCTCTGCTTGCAAATTAACCTGCTTTATGACTGTAGGCTTTGCATAAAACAGACAGAGCCAAACATCACCTAGACAGCTCGGGCTGTGTGGAATTTATACTCTGACTCTAATAGCAATCTCTTCCTGCTTACTCACTTATGTTCTTATTGCCTTTCATATAATAATGATATCAGCTTACACATTGGCACAGAAGGATTAACGGCTACAGATTTATTATCTTTTCTTAAAATACTATTTTTAGTTTCTAATTACTGATTAAGAACATCGGGTTGCAATCTTTCCAGCATCTTTCCCATACACTCACTGCTACATATTCATCACGCTACAGCGCACTTGGTTTGCAATCAGATAAACCAACAGGAGCAATGTGGGTGCAAAGAAACTAAGCCAACACCTGCTTACTCTTTTTTTTTTCCTAATAGCTGCAATGCAGGCTCTTCTCTCATTTCTGATTCAAGAAACTACTAAAAATCAGTAGTTTGGTATATTAAATATTGACAACAGTCACATTTCTTTCTCTCCTCAGTGGTTAAGTGTCTGCTATGAACTGTGATACAACCCATGGGGGTTCAGTTCTACATCCTCCTAATAAAATAAATACAGAGAGACTTGCAATAGAGTGTATCCACCTACCTGAACCTACAGAGACTTATTTATTTTGGTTTGTTTCATTCCTTATTTACATCACAGAATGGTTTGGGTGGGAAGGAACCTTAAAGCCCATCCAGTCCCTGCCACAGGCAGAGACACCTTCCACCTTCCAATCCAGGTTGCTCCAAGACTCATCCAATCTGGCCTTGGACACTTCCAGGGACAGGGTAGTCACAGCTTCTCTGGGTAACCTGTGCCAGGGACTCATCACCCTTGCAGGGAAGAGTTTCTTCCCAATATCCCATCTAACCCTGCCCTCTGTCAGTGGGAAGCCATTCCCCCTTGTCCAAAGCCCTATTGCTCTGCCCTAAAGATGCTTCCACATCAAACCAACCCAAGTGTACCAACTTCCTAACAGATCCCAGCCTCTCCAGATCAATGCTGCCAGGAACTGAAGTCCTTGGAAGCCCACTCCTGGCAGCCACATCCCTGGAGCAGGAACCCCCTTTGCAGGAATGAAAAGGGAAAGTGACTTTGTAAACCAGCTTGATGTTCCAGCAGTGACATCCTTACACTGACACAAGTGGACATGGAGAGAACATGGCTCAGCTTCCCTATCACCAGCATTTGCTGAAAGCTTCACACCTTGAAAACTGAACATATCTTTCTCTCTGTACACTGGAACCAAGCACACGTGGGTGGTTTTAGGCTGGGTGGTTTTAGTCATACAAAATAAAGTTCCTTGCTAATTAATCAGTCAAGGAATAGTTAAGGAACACAAACTTTGTGCCCAAAAGGAGCTTCAGAGCAGTTGACTCACCAAGAAGTTACGTTGGTACCAGTTCTGTTTAAAGAACAAAACAGCTGAAAAACAGTTCAAGAGCCAAAGCCACACAGCAGGAGGCTGAGCTGAGGGCCAGAATTCTCCCCTTCTGCTTCACCCACTCAATAGTGGCCTTCTCTTAACAACAGGTTGCAACTGCCTGGGTGAAGAGTCACCCCATGACTCGAGTTGCTCTGTTTTTATTGATTTCCAGACATACTTTCCTACTCACAAGTTTCTCACTGTGCAGAACTCATGTTATCCAGCCTCCTGTCCTTTGAAGATGCAGCAGAGTTGCTGTTGAAGCCAACAACAGCCAAGTCTCTACATCACTGGCAGGATGTTGCTGCAAAGGTTACAGAATTGACTTCTTGGTGACTAAACCTAAAGCTGAGAGTACAAAAGAGCTGACCTTGGAAAATTATCTCATCCTGTTTAGAGTCACACAGAACCATTTGCCAAATCTCTCAATATAAAATATTTCACATCACGGATTGACAGAGTTCCTTTCTTACCCTTCCTTCCGTCCACACCAAATCCGATAACTGACTTTTCTTTCCTCGATGGGAGAAGGCTCAGAGGATGGAGATCCGGTCACTTTACATGCTAAGGACACAAGTCCCAGCTTTTTTACTATTGAAACAGGAAACACTGTCAGATCCTTCTGGAGAATTCTATTGTTACATGAGCAAATAAAACTTTTGGCCAAGGTGAAAATGGCAGAGGGCATCTCTCTGCTACATGCAGGTCAAAGACCCTGGAGATGGAGGATGCAAAGGAAATCACAGCTCTCCATGGCCAATGGCAGCACTGCCTTGTTTTATCTACTTTTTGTCCGGTTTCTGGGTTTGTTCAGTTTGATTTTTGGATGCCACGGAAGCAGATGCAATATTAGATTTACTTTCCATTCCTTGTCAGAACATTTTGATCTAATTCAACATCAGACTTTTCAACTCGAAAGAACTACGTGAGCGGGGCCCAGATGTGAGACAGTCAGACAGACTGTCCTTATCCTCCATCCTTCCCTACAGCTTCTGTCCTACCCTGAGCCAGCCCCACGTGTGGTTTGCACAACCTGCTGCCAGGCACCCTGTTCTTTATCAGCCACCACGTGCGAGGCAGCGGCTGCAGCCGTGTCACCCACTCACAGCGCAGGCACACCAGGCTCCAGGACACCCACTGGCTACACCAGTTCTATCCACAGCTCACCCCCTCCTTCTTTGGTTCTGTATTTCCTTACACGTTTTTGTTGATCTAGAGTCTAATTTGGAGGGATTGATGGCCCCGCTGGCAGCGGGGATTCACAAACCCTTGGTGCTCCTCACTGCTTTAGCTCACAAGCTGCATTTTGGACAATGAGAACTCCCAGTTCCCGTTTGATAACCGGTTTGTTCTGTCGCTGGGAGACACGCCCTCTCTCTGTAAATGTTACAAATCAGGCATATCTGATCCATTATTCACTAACTGCTGCTGCTTCCCACTTCCAGCTCCTATTAGAGGGAGCGCTCATGCCAGAAATGTCACAGTGGCATCATGTGACAGGTGGTATTGATTTAGGTCCAGCGGGGTTTAATGTCACTCCTGTTCAGTGGGACACAGGGCGAGAGCACACAGAGCCTCAGCAAGGGGGCAGGTCAGGGCAGGAGCTCTCAGCCAGCCCCTACACAGGCTGCTGGACTCAGGAATGGGCTCAGGCAGGACTCTGCTGCACACCAGGACATTTGAGGATCTGCTCCCAGCTGCTACAGCGTTGTGGTTACATTTTTCTTCCAAATTCACAGAATCCCAGAATGGTTTGGGTTGAAAGGCACCTTAAAGCTCATCTCATTCTACCCCACTGCCATGGGCAGGGACACCCTCCACTAGCCCAGGTTGCTCCAAGCCCCATCCAACCTGGCCTTGGACACTTCCAGGGATGGGGCAGCCACAGCTGCTCTGGACAACCTGTGCCAGGGCCTTACCACCATCACAGGGAAGGATTTCTTCCATAAAAGAAACTAGATTGCAACTATTAATCACAAGACTCAATTCTGAGCTTTAATGGCACGTTTAGAGCAGACAATGAGAAGGGAGTGTCACAGTGAACAGTCAGGAGCAGAAACCTGCTCTTGCCCACTCCCTTGTTTTCACTCTTTACAAGATGCTCCCTTTTGGCACAGTAGCTGCCGGTTTGGGAAAGCTGCCCACAGCCTCTCAAGTCTGGTGCACAGAAACTGCAAAGTAAACCCCAGGGAACACGTGCCCAAATCAAGTTGGGACTGCCCAGCCACAGGAGCCTTCATATCCAGCGTTCTGCTCCTGCCATTCCAGCCTATCAACCTGTACACAATCCTTCCAGAACATCCAGTCTGGCTGGGACTGAGGATACTGCTTAAACGCTGAGCATTGTAACACACAGTCTCTGCCACGAAGGATGTTCGCCAGAAAAGCTTAGACTGACCCAGAGTTACTGCTGCTGCCAGACTGAATCAGTGCATTCACCGGCCTGATGTGACCCAAACCTCCAAAAGATTTTTAATTTCATTTTCCTTGCTGTCTCAAAGTAGGTAGTCTGCCAAGAAGCCAAGCAGGGCCCAGCCCTGTGCCTGATAAACATCTCTCCATCTGGATTTCCCAAGCTTTTGGGAAAGTTAGGCAACTCTCACAGAGAGTGATTTCTATATATAACATTATTCTGTGGAGAGCAGCACATCAGAGCCCCATGCCACGGAATGGAGCTGGAGCAGCAGAGCGTCCACCACCCCCCATAGGTTGGTCAAAAATAAAAGCTGTCATTCATCTGGGAAATGTCACAAAGCCTTGAGTCATTGTTTATTCTAAATACTACCGGCACCCATCTTCAAAGTGGTGTTGAATTACTGTAATTGCTAAATGAACTCGAGAGAAGCCAAGACAACGACCCCGTGTGCAGGGATCACCGGCTGCTGAGACAAGGGATCCGTTGGGATTGGGGCAGAAGGGAACATTCTTCCATCCGGGCAGAGAACCCCCAGGAAGCAGAGGCTCAGTGCTTAACAGCCACGGAGATAACAAAAGGTGTTATTAGTTACAGGGTTCAATCCTGGCAGTTCATCCTTCAAAATAACAAACACCCATGAAGCATTAACGGTCAAAAGTTAAATAGTTTCTGAACTCACTCTGTGCAGGCTTCTTTGTAAAGCAGCTCCTATGACTTGGAGGGGTGGATGTTTTCTTGGGGACAAGCTGTTGCTGATAGTTCCCTTTCAGGTCTTTCCAACTGAGCTCCTAATTTCTAAGTGCCAAAAATTACAGGCAACACATGGCTGATGACAATTCAGCTTTAAACTTGTCTGCAATGATGCACCAAATCTTTTGCAAGCTAGAAAAAAATAATTTATTTCAAGTGATAAAGAGGAAAATGTTATAGACTGTGAAGCATTAATGTTGCATCCCAAAAAATCTCACACACAAAAAACATTCCAGCACCACATTCAGCCTCTAAGAGAAGAGCTCGGCACTGAAATGCCTGCAGGGAAAAGTAGTAAACAATTAGAACTGAAAAATAATTTGATGACACAGCATTGACTAACGAAGCACAGTGAAATGTCAAACGTTACAGTGGAAGAAAACAACTGGGAAAAGTAGGAATGTCCATAAATTGGTTGTTACAACTATAAATCTCTATAATAAAGTTCGAGGTAAGTAATGAATTTGCTTGAAGGGGAGCGTATCACACAGATTTCTGAGTAGCTGGACATAAAAAGCTGTACTTCATATTATATTTATTAATTTGATTCTGTAAGTGAATGGTGCAGTAAATACCAAACATCCTGTTAAATGAACTGAAATACTTTTATGTAAAAAGTGTTAACTTTCCTCATTACCACAGCTGGGTTTCGACAGGACAGAGCACAGCTCCAACACACAGCCTGGTGCTTTGGGATGCGTTCAAAGCAAAGCCAGATTTTCATAAGAACCAACAAACAGCTCTTTTCCTACCTTTTCCTGGCCTGGGGCTGCTGGGATCACCAGCCAGGCCTGGAACACCCCATCTGGTGGTTCCTAACAGCAACAGAAATGGCCAAAGCACACCCGGGGTCACCTGGTGCCCTCCCCTCCTCCGTGGAACACACCTCACTCCTGAACACTGACCCTTCCCAGAGGGGGACTCCGTGAACACCGGCACAGCTGCAGAAGGGTTTGCTTTCCGCTTACCACAAGCGCCTACAAAGACTCTTACACTGTCACATAAACCTTCCTGTACTGCAAGCTCTAAGTTTTTCTAGCAATACCAGTGTTTTAAAAATATTAATTCTAGTTTATCTGTTTTACTGTAGTGAACCCTTAAGAAGACATTTGACAGGAACACTCTTGACCAGAATGATTTGTCTCAAAAAGGAAAGGCTGAGTATTTTTTTAATTATTACTTCCATCTTGAAGACACCACCTTCCTTACACCCTCATCTTAAAGTGAAAACATGTTTGCACAGGTGAGGTCTGTGCCACCTGGGGTTCTGTGTTTACAGTTCTGTGGTGCAAGGTCAAGGTGTTTTCTTCCTGCAACGGCATCAACATAACAATGAGAAGTGAGAACATTTGCACATACAAAAGGGAAGCAAACATTGCAACAGCCAGCAACTCCAGACCTATAAGTCTAAACTGGAGAAGATTGTGAAGTCCTAAGTCCCAAATATCCATCTGGGAAAAAGGTGAGCCTGAGGTTACCTGTTGATAACTCTGAATCTGAGCCAGCCAAGCACCTCAGTGGCAGAATTCTCTTCCTGCCCCTACAGTTCTGTATGTACAGAGCTGAAATTAAATATCCTGTTGGCAGCAAGTCCTAGGTCAGTACAGAAAAGCTGTGCAGAAAGAGTGTAAGACTTCACCTGTTATTTATATTCATATTGACTAAATGGCCTTTTAGGAGTCGTAACATTTACCACGACCACATTAAAAATGACTGTATGTGTCCATTAAAGACCTTGTCAGCAGCTCCGTGTAAACTCTCATCAGCAACAATAGTCACCAGATAAGAAGTAGCCAAGTATCCAAGTGTGGAAAACCTTCCCCATGAAACCAAGCCTGCACAAGGAAGGAATGCAAGGGTAGGTAGGCCTTGGACAGCCTCTTTAAGGACATGACAAGTGGCAAAGACATTGACTGCTGACAGTTCTCACACCACCTGAGCTTTCCAGCTGCACTGCTGGCAGCTTTAAATGAAATAAAAAAGCATCATTTTAATTTGGGGAAAATCCTGATGAAGAGAATCATGCTGATGAATATAAAGCAAACTACAATTAACATTATCCACAGCAGCCAGTTGACCGATTTCTTCGCGTGCTGCTCCAGGCGGTCAGATTCATCCTTGAGCTTCTCAAAGTTCTGGTCTGCCATCCTGAGGGAATGGGACAGTGTCTGTGGAGCAAAGAGAGCAAACGGTGTCAGACTCAGAGCTGCATGTGCTGGCTGACATTTCCTCCAACAGAGGAAACGTTCAACCACACACAGCAGCAGACAGGTATTGCCTCCAGTCTCCCCACTCTAATAACACCTGGAATCGAGTTATAGGTACAGAATTTCACTTATGAGCACTTTAACCTCCTGGGTTGGAAAGTTGAGGGGTTACAGTTTCAAGGTGTGCTACCTGGTTGTCCTGTTTGATCACGTTCTGTGCAGCCAGGGTGTTGTTTTTGAGGCTGCGAGCCAAGCTGAGCATTTCCTCGGCCAGCTTCTCCTGCATGTCCTGGTGGTGCTGCAGCACAGCATCCAGCTCCACTACCGACTGCTTCTCGTCTGATTGGAGGCCTCTGCAAGTGCACAAGGGGGAAAAAAAGGGATTTGTACTTCCCTGCGGGTCAATCTCCCAAGGTTTCCTCAGATTCTGCAACTCTATGGTACAACAAGGCCAGTTGAATCAGTTGAAGTCATTACAGTTTGGTTTCTATCTTTCTATTCTTCACCCAAATCAAAGTACATCTGGGATTTAAAGACCATTGGGAAAGTAGTTTCCAAAATGCTGAGTATTGGAATGAGAAATTTTAACTTACTTCCGCTTCCTTATGTTCAACTCCTCAGAATCTGGGAAAAATAAAAAAAAAAAACAAAACAGTTTAATTTGTGCTTTAGCACCTTATAAATTCCCATGCAATCACAGGCTGAAAAAACAAGTCTGTAAGGGATTTTCAGCTGTCCAAATCCTACCTGGCATCTGTCCCAATGAATATGGATGTCAAATGCCTACCTACTCTCTGCAGGGAAAAGGGGACATGTAACATCAAAAGAGGGAAAAAAAACCCCAGATGAATCACATCCCTGAGGGCAGGGTTTGAGCCCTGTGTATCTTAGTGTTTTTTCAGGACAGGTTAGATTGGCCCAGCTCCAGCCACTGTAACAGCAGCCATGGAAACTACAAATTAATTCCTCCCAGTTCCCTACATGAAAAACATGGCTGTGTATTCCAGAGGAACCGCCTACTCCAAGAGCCCAAAATCACATGATTGGCTCAAAGCAGAAGGGAACAGGAGCAACAATAAAGGTAAATTGTCCTTGCTAATTCTGTAACTAGAATGTCTGTTTCTATACAAATTCTACAAAAAGAGGTTCCTGCAAGTCCCTGCTACCACTGATAACACTTCTGCTTTCATCTGGTTTTCGTTTTGTGTGTTTTTAAAATCTATATTGAAAAAAGGTGAGCCACTAAATTAAAAAATACACTTTGGGCAATCGCTAATACCTGACCTTCCTCCTCCTTTCCCTGTAAGACTCAGGTTGACTAAAGTTAGAAAAGCAACACATCAAACTCACCATTGATAGCCAAAGGGCCCTGGGAGGCAGAAAGAAAACCAAAACAGCAGATTACAAAGGGTCATTGGTAAGAGACAGCCCTGCAGGCCTGGCACAGTGCCTGTGTCCAGGATTCAGACCACCCAAACCAGAAAAAAGGTGACTCCCCACCCAGGCTGGGACACAGCTCAGGCACAGGCACCCAAGGCAGCTGAAGGTAAGGACAATCTGTAAAGTACCAGCAAAGTAGCAGCACCAAACCTACTGTACCAAGCAGCTCACTCCTCATCTGGCCCGTGCAGCGAGCCTTGGTCTGCAGATGGACTGTTTTGGTCGCTGGGGTTCTCTCCCTGGCTGTTGTGGGGGTGCGCCCAGGGGCCAGGAACTGGTTTGCCAGAGCCTTCTCTGTTGATGAGGACTGTGAGTGGGAAGGAGCAGTGAAAAGTCACAGATATCACACTCTGCAGTGTGAGGCACCTGGGTGCGTGATCACCCTCATCCTTCAGCAGCACTGACTGTACCCCATGAGCTAAAATCCAGCTTAGTGGTACTTCGCAGCTCTCCAGGTGCACATGGCACTATCCAGAGAGGTGTCAAGGCTGAAGGATAGTGCCTGCCCCTGCATCTCATAGCTAAGGAGTGAGAAGGATGTAGGCAAGCTGTACTTTGCTTTTGAAAAGGAGGAAAGAAGATTCAGATTTCATACAATACCTCCTTTTAACAAAACCTGGAGCCAATACATTTATTCACAGTTTTACAAGAGCTGCCTAGTAAGACTTTAACAACAATTATTTTAAGATACAAGATAATGGCCAACATAGGAACTATGCAATAAGATGAAATAAGCAGAGAACTCTGAAGTCTTTTCAAGCTGAACTAGTAGATCTTACCAATTTTTCAGCTTCTAGGAGTCCCTTTAGGAAGTCCACTTTGCGAGAGTATTCATTCAGCATTTCTGGGGCAGGCTTGCTATTGGAGTTGAAAGATAACAAAGAAAACCAAAAGTTACTGGCATTTGCTACTGTTCAGGTGACTTTCCAAATAAAATAAGACAGAAAAAACCAACATGTGGTTCTTCAAAGAAGCGTCTTTAACAAATGTAGCCTCAGGATAGGAACACACTTGCAACCCCCTGCAAATCACCTTTTCCAAGACAAGGAGAGCTCAGAGCACAGGCATTTCCACAGGGAAGAATATACTGTGGTGTTTGTGGGCTATGGCAACTTACAGATAAGATTACTATTGAATCACAAAATCATTAAGGTTGGAAAAGACCTCCAAGATCATCAAGTCCAACCTTCGACTGAATCCCCCCATTCCCACTAAACCACATTACAAAGTGCCACGTCTACTCTTTTTGAACACTTGAAAGGGATGGTGACCCCACCGCATCCCTCGGCGGCCCGTTCCAACGCTTAACTACTCTTTCAGTGAGTAATTTTTTCCTAATATCCAACCTGAACCTCGCCTGGCACAACTTGAAGCCGTTCCCTCTAAACCACAAAACCACAACGGGCACCCAGGGACTCAGAGCGCTCACCTCGACTGCTTCTTCAGCTCCCGCAGCATGTCCTCGAGAGCAGCCACATACTGAGGAGAAAAATAAGGCTTTAAGCGACAGCATTAAGGAGAAACACCCGGTGGGGCAGAGGCAGTGGGTTTAACACCACGGCGAGGGTTACAGAAGGGCCGCCCCGCGGTGCCGCGGGACGGAGGGGCCGGGCGGCCTCACCTTCTCCACGCCACTCCTCGGGGTCCCGCCGCTCCTGCCCGCCACTGCCTCGCCCGGCCTCAGCAGCCGCATCATTAGCTCCCGCCCGCGTCGAGCCATGGCGGCATCGCGATCCTCACTTCAAGGCGCCGCGTCGCCATCTTGGGGCGGGCGAGGGGCGGGAAAGGGAAGCGCCGGCGGCGTTATCGCCCGGTTATTTAAATAAACCACCCCAATCATACCCGAAACTAACCGGCCTCAAAAGCAACCCCGGCTGCGCAAGTGCTAAAGGGGTTGCTGGCATGCTCGAGGGGTGGTGGGGCTGCCAGCTCGGGGCGTGGTGGTGGCTGAGCTGAGCTCTTCCCTCACCCCCACGTGGCGCAGCCCCGTGAGGGACCGGGGCACAGAGGCGGCTTCAAAGCGATAATGAACGATGGCCCCTCGCCCTCAGGTGTGTCCCCGCACACAGGTGAGGGGTGGGGAGGATGAGGCAGCACCACGCTGGCTTGTGGTTCGCTCCAAGAGCACCAAAACCCTCCCCGGTGCCACCAGAGCCTTGTTAGTGCTTCCCCCATGCAGAGCTTTCCCCATCCTTTATCAGTACTTCATAAAGGCAGCAACATCGATTAAAGGCTTCCCTCGGAGTGAACTGCTCATTAGACACACACTGATAAACGAACACGTGTATTTTTTTAAAAGTGCAACGTTTTAATAAACTTCTTTATACATTTTGGTCTCAGTTAAGGCTATTACGTTAAAACAGTTCTGTAAACCACACAGAAAATTGTCATAAAAAAAATTAAGGCAAGACACATTGACCTAAACTCACTGTTGGTCCCATGAGAGTCCATTGTAAGACAAATGGAAAAAGGCACAGCAGCCGAACTGGGGGGGCTTGTTTCCTGTACACTCAACCCACATATTTTACTCAGCATTAAATTTTAGGTTTTTTGCAAGGTTTTAATTTAAAGTGGAAAACATTTGCTTTAAACAACCTTGCTGAACCTTTACAGTACTGTACATTTCCAGGTTGCCTTCCTGGCAGCCACTTAAACACAAGTTTACAGCCTTCAAAGGGTTAAAGCCAAAAGCTGCGGTCAACTTCAAAAAAAGTCCAGAGAGCTGAAGTATTTCACTTCTCCATACAGGGAATGTGAGAATAAGGATCTGAGAACCTCCGTTTGACTTTTGCAGTTGGTTCATATTCATCCACGAGTTCCTGAGCGTGGGCCAGTGCAGACCCTTGTGCAATGTATACCGAGTGGATGCTGTCAGTCCGCCTTGCTGGCTGCTCCCTATGTCTCACCACCTGAGACTCCTTGTTAGCAGAAACCTCATCCTGGGATTCTGTACATTTGAACATCCCAGGAGGGAGTTTTATATTTGCTGTTGGCATCACTGGAGTTCGACGGGGCACTTTCATCTTGGACAGTGTTAGAGAGTATCTGCGCCTTGAAGCCAGGGATGCAGAGTAGGAATGTGAAGAGGTTTGTGGGAGAGAAGGCACTTTGCAAATGTCTTTGGCAAGCAGGCTGGAGCTCTGAGCACGGCAGTGTAATCCAATAATTGCTTTACAGAAACAAGACACTTAGAGACTATAGCAGTAACTTGATACAAGCCACCATGAGCAGATAGCATCTGCTCACCTGGCTGTATGTAGCAGAAGATGGAGAATAAAAAAAAGCACACACTACCTTAATACTGACCTTCGGTATCCATCCGGCCTGTCCTATCCTCAAGCAGGCTCTCTGTGCTTGCCGACGTCTCCGAGTCCACGTTTTCCTCGTCGGAGCCCCGCTGGTCAAGCTCAGGTAACCGGTAAGTTATGTCCTCTCTGCATCAAACACAGGCTAGAACACTCAACCAAAACAACGTCTCTAACACGAGCTCGCGTTCAGAGGCAAAGTATGTAGTCATGAAATATTAATTCTTGTGGTATTTTCTCTCAGCTAGTCCTTTGTATTTTCCCTTTCCCCTCTGCAGAACAGAATTAGAACCTTTTGGACAAAAGGTATTCTGCTTTTATGCTACCCAGGTGAAGGGGGACTTACTTTTCTTCTTTTATTGACTGTATGCGATCGATGAGAATCTCCTTTTCCCGGTTATTGGCTTCAGAAACTTCTTCATCTTCATGCACCGAGTCCAGCTCTGAGGTGCCACTGTCATTTCCTTTGACCTGAGAGCTTTTACTCTGCAAGACAAATTCATGCGTAACACTTCTCAGTTACAAGCAGCTACACAAGTCTTGGTCTGCAAGTTTCAGAGTAGAAGACAAATGAGTAGGTCAAAGGAAAGGCTGAGGGAATTAATGAAGAGCTGTTAGTTATCCATACAAACATTTCAAAGAGAAAGAGAAAATCTCCTATTCACCTGGTTTCTGGGGCTTTGTTACTTTTTTTGATCTGTCAGCCTTAGCTTAGTTTTAGTAGTCACTTATAAGTAATATTATTAAATCCAATAAAAGTTACATACAGTGTCTATAAAATATTAGGTGAGGACAGAACAGGCCAGCAGCCCTGCATGCAGTCTGGGGGTGGGAAGTTGCACCAATACATGCAGTCTTGATTGTTTAAAACAGTGTTTAAAACAAAGTTACAGCATGTGTAATAAGTATTTTAGTCATGCAATAGTACCATAAGAAAAGCCCATGCACTACACCCAGGCAGTTGTACGTACCAGCTTCCCCTCGTAAGGGGAAGAGAACCCAAGTTTTACAGGCCAGAGCTAGAGAGAGATGGAGACCAAATTAACTATATGCCACTTCTGATCAGACACAATTTGGCTGGCTTTAATCAGTACAACAAAAACAAAGAATAAGTTTATTTGCCCTACTAGAACACAGCATATTTTTGCCCACCAGCAGTCTCTGGAGTGAAGGAGCTCCTCTGCCATGTCAGAGACTCTGTTAGTTCTACTGATGGAATTATATGGGAATAGATTTTGATCACTGCAAGAGCAGATCCCCACACCTCTGCACCCTTCATTTATCAGACTCCAGTCCAGCTGTATATTTAGCTCCTACCTACAGCTCCTTCGGCAAGTCCTACTTTAGGCAAGTCCAAATCCCTTTTCTTCTTATCTTGCAACTGATTTTTGACTTACTGAATGAGATGGACAGGATAAATAAGTAGTACTTCATTTCCCAAAATCTGGTGGGATGATGGGTTTATTTCAATACTTACTGTATTCTGCCGGAGCAACGAGAGCCGTCGGAAAGCAATGCTCTCTGCTGCTTCCAGCTGATTGATCTCATCCATTTTTATCTTGTACTTCCTTATCTGTTCCTTTATGAGCATCTCTACACACCTGGGAAAAACGGCAAGAGCATATTGAGCAGCCTCATACCATAAAAGCTCTGGAACAACCATGGTGGGATGAGATGCCTCTCTTGGCCTGGGGGTGTTTATCACACACAAAGTGTCCCAACACATCCCCTACGGGTGGCACTGCAGGGTGACACGGTGGAGAGTCCAACACAGCAAGCAGAACAGGACAGGTAATGGTTAAATGCAATGGCATATGTTCCTCCTGGGATAACCGGAGCCTCCTACGCTGACTGCACACAATGGTGAGCAGACAGACATTACCAGGGCTGCCAACAGCTTCTGCTGCTTCAACCTGTCTTCCCTGTGCTGGCACAGAATGAATCTGCAACTGCCCTTTTCCACCTCCTTTTCCACCTCTGTGGTCAGCAAAAAGTTACAAAAAGCTGTCATTTTTCAAACTCTGTTTCCACTGGAGGCAGATGCACAGCGAGGGGCACTCAGAGAGCCAGAGCTGCTGGAGGGTGAGAACAGAGAGGATCAAGGACAGAACCTTCCCCAGTTCAAGGAACAACACAGAAGAAATTATCAGGGAGTTTCATGTATACAGGAGACAGCTTAACTATCATACTGTTTATTATGGCTCGTATCTCAGCAAAACAGATGATTGATGTACAATCCACCCAAAAGATTATCTTGACGTAAAACACAAACCTGATATTTAAGACTTCTAAGTCATCCTACTTGATGCTTTGTGAACTGGAGACAGGTGGAAGGTCTGAGAGGGGCATATAAATTGGCAGCACCGGCAGAGCCAGGATTCAGCCACTCTTAACCCTCAGTTTCTCAGCTTGATAGGAACAAGGTCATAACAAATGCAGGCAGTGGTACTGGCCTTCCATCCCACTCTAAAGTACTTTTTTTGAGGAAGTACTTTTCAGACTGCTAAAACTTACATGGTTGTTTTTGAAACGTCCTTCATGCTGGTTAAGGGGTCAGAGGTATCCGGACAGCGCAGGAGGCATGGAGCAAACACAATGGCCAAGGCATTGGGTGACATACGGTTGACATCTTCTATCAAAGCCACTCTGAAATCGAACATTCAGGAAAAGAGATTTTAAGCAAACCTTGCTAGAATGCAAGCAACCTGATCGCACCTTGCCAGAGTTCCCAAATATCACGCAAGGAGGCCTCTCAGGCACTCAGTGCATATAGCAGTTCAAAAAAAACCATTAAAATTATTTCGCACAAGTAGACAAAATTTTGTGCATCAGAAAAAGGACTAGGGAGTCACCCAGGTTAAACTAGTCTGGTAGCCTCCCAAAGTATATCTGGTGATTCAGTGTTTCATCTCCAAGAACCATGTTCAGAGGGCACTTGGAAAATCCTCAATTTCCTTAGATAAGAGCAGCCTCTTTTCCAGCACCATTAATCCCTGCTCCTAAGACTCACATACGTTCATCCTTCATTACGTACTATCTGTATAAATCCTGGTGTTCAGATGATTCACCAAGACTGTGAGATCTACCTTATCTTCAAAGTTGTTCTTACCCGATTTGATCCAAACACACGAGGTTGTAGAAGTCACCCATATCTGTTCTCAAGCACAACTATCAACTTCAATTCTTTCATGTCTAAACCAGCAGCACAAGTCCTACACTAACACTTAAGGAGTTTAAGACTTTAAAAAGCTTCCAAGAAGCACCTAAGAGTCACACAGTTTCTCTACAAATGAAGTAATTACACTCATTACTTGACAAGATGGAAGATGAGTCGCTCCAGGGTATTATGATTTGCCTGTGGGAGCTGTTCCAGGACACTGTAAATGGCACAGAGTTGCTCCTGTTTTTCTGGTAGTTCTGCACAAAGGGAGAAAGCACAAGGTGATAAATGCTCTGCAAGGCTAGTGGAAAGCTAAAATTTGCAAATTCTTAGAAGTCTCACTGTCATTTCATTCACCAACTGTTATAATTGAATGTTAAAGCATCCCTCATGGCACTGCAATTGTCCTGCATTTTCAAATGCTGCTGCTGTTAAACATCAAGTGACTGATCAAGACCTACAACAATATTTAGGATGCCTTAATCCCACTGAAATTAAAAGAATTTAAGGATTAAAGTTAAAAGTTAAAAGAATATCTGGATATTAAGATCTGGTTTAGACCATCAAAGAGGAAAAAACACGCATGAAAGGCAACTTATTTACAATCTCACTGTTTACAGAAAGAGCAGCTATATAGTGATATTACACTACAATCCCTCCCCCCACCCAAAAAAAAAAAGGAATCTCGAAGCAAGATGAAGTAAGCTAGAGGAGAAATTCCCTGAGAAGTGTTTTATGTAAAATGTCTAAAATCTTTGCCATAACTGCACTGGAAGGAGCTGTTAATCCAGCATGAGCATCTTAAGAGTTTCTTCTCCCAAGAGCATAATGAGTTAAAGAAGAAATGCTTAAAAAATTACTTTAAAACCTACCTACAGCTCGGAGGAAATCATTGTACTGTGCTGATGTCATCAGTGGGTCTGGCAGCTCCCGCAGCCACTGCTTAAGGATCCCCGTGATGGTGTGAATAGGGTAATTCTCCAGCTTCACTGAGTTTGGATCTGAAAAGGAATGTTTTATTTAGAGCAATTCATTCCTCCTCACAATTCAACTCTCCCATTCACAGAATCCGAGTGGCAATTCAGAAGAAAAGAAAAAAAAAGCAACAAACCAACAAAAGATAGTAATTTAGAGGTACTAAGCAGCTTCTGGCAGCCAACAAAAATACTACAGCCTGCATGGTCACCAAAAAGCTGTTTTTAAAACACCAGAACGTGCCAGATACTTTCAGATAGAAGAGAATTGCAGGGAAAGCTGATATCACAAGGAAGTCCAAAGGGTGGACAAGAGTGCCTGACCTGCTTGCAGCAACTGTTTGAGCTCCTTCATCCGATTTGCTGATCCTGATTTCCTGTAGATCCCCTCCGTGTAGAGCCCGTGCATCTCCACGTACTCTAGCAACTTCTCCATGACAACAGGGACCGAGTTCCTCTCGCTGGTCAGGGAACTCACACTCACTCCGAAGTGTCGTGGTTCTGCATCCTGCTCATTCTGGAACAGATACAGGCCAAGTACTGTGAATCCTGTTCCCAAGCCAGGAAATTCCACTGTTTCATGCTACAATTATCTTATGCTTCCAGAAACTAAAGCTGAGTGTTTTATTCTAGCTTGCTACACACAAGGCATAAGGCAGATTTCCTGAGCTGCAGCAATAAAGAACGCTTATGGTTCACACTGAAGGATTTCTTTATCAGTTTGTCCAACACTGCACACACACTCTGAAAGAAGAGTTCCCAAATTAGGTCAAGCATCACCTCTTAGAAGAATGTTCTGCCTCTGCACGTGCAGAGCTGCACCTGACTATATGCAGAGAAGGGAAGTGTTTGGGCAATTTTTATTCAGTGCCTGGACATCCACTGTTCCTTTGCTGAGAAACAAAGGCAGCGTTTTGCATGCGAAACTTATGGTACCACAGAACCCCATGCCAGATCCACAGGCCTTACCTTTTTCCCACAGGAGGTACAGCTGCTCTGGATTTTGGACATGCACTTCTTGTGACAAGTCAGCTTGCAAACTAGAGAGAAAGGAGCAACTGTTAGAAGCATCCAAATCACATTAAAAAACACATTAGCACCTTGTTTTATTCACTGCCTATATAAACCACATGTACTGTTCACTAAGGCCCATCTGCAGCAGCCAAAGTTACAAGCAGTTTGCACATATGGTAACCTAAGCAGGAAGGCTGAGGGGTGTTTACTCACCACTGCACAGACAGGCTTTTTCCATGGGCCAGATGTAGGATGAGCAGTGCTCACACGACTGCCGGATGCTCACTTGGTAGTTTGTGAACACATGGCCATTGTGTTCTTCAATCTGGTGGGAGACAGAAAGGAATTAGTGATTTTTTTTGCCTTTTAAAAATTATTATTATTTTTAATAAAACCATTTACCCTGTATCAGATTTTCCACTTTATTTTACAATTACAACTGAAGGCTTTGAACTTGAAACCAAATTTTGCCCTATCTTAAGGCAGTTGGGTTTGCTGGATCATTTCATAATTGGCTTGCTGCCTTAAAGTTCATCAGTGCAATACATGAGCTCTAGTTTGTTGTTACTATTCAATAGCTGTTTTCCTTTAAATAGTCCATTATTGAGAAAGCCATTGGCTTCTAAAAGGTGCTATGGACAAGCAAGAAAATATTTGAGTACCACCTATCACTGCATAAAAGCAAGATTTCTGATTTATGAAGAACAGTTTTATATCATGTCACATCTTCATAAGAGGTAAGTGAATTAGTATGCAAAATAAAACAGAATATCAGTACAAAAATCAAACTCTTCCAAGGGTGTTTGTGTTCTGTGAGTGCACCTGAGGACTTGGACTATTGCAAAAGAAGAAGTACTCACTGCACGATCTTGTTTTCGTTTCTTCTTCTGGGCTTTGGTTTGCTGCAGCAGGATACAAAACCGCTGTTAGTCTTGAAATTCAGATATTCCATTCCCTTTTTTTGCTATTGAGTTTCCCAGGCTCTACTTCACCTCCAGACATTTGAGACACTATCCTGCAGCTTCAGCTTGGGTTGTCTGAGCTCACACTACCAACTTCCTAAAAACCAGCTGAGCTCACTGCCTGATGGCAAAGCAATTCCAGCTCTCAAACCTCCAGAGAACTCCTATGTTTTTATCAAAGAAAATGCACAAACACTTACTCTTAACATCTTCAGAATCCGAAAGTTAAAAGATTAACAATTCCAAAAAGGTGAATCAGCAAATCAGAATTTGCTACACACATAATGTGTGTATGGCAAGTGTTTGCCAAGTAACAAAGAATGCTCTGGAAAAGGTTTCTAAGGTAATTATTATGCTGAGACAGTAACAGTGTTTCATCATCCCATAAGCCAGTAACAGAATAACTTTTATACCTTGGGCTGCTCAGATTCCTCTTTTTTTGTATATCCTCTGATGAATTCATCCAGAAGGGATTGAAAGAGATTCAAAACCAGCTTGACTTCTTTCTCTTCTCTTTTTTGGGCCAGATTTGTAACTAGAAGCTGGTAATTTTCCACCAGATCTTTGTAGCCAACATGGATTTGTCCATTCTAGAGAAGGGTAAAATACGTGTAAGACAGTCTTTTTGGATAGTGTTGAGGCAATTTCATATTTTCATGTGTTTAAGTTCAGAGGTGAGAAAGCACAGCCATGATCAAAGTCAAAGATAACAGAAACAAGTTCACAGACTTGTCTACTGCACTGTCCAACAGCACTTGGCTGAGACAAGGCAGTGTCAGAAGACACTGGAAAAGCTGTTGGCACCTCTCATTGGTGTCTAAACACAGCAGCATTAAGAGGCTGAAGATAGCAAAATCCATCCATTTCTAAAAATAAATTTATGGCTGAGTGAATGTGAAAAGGGAAACAAAGAAATCTGCTTAAGATTACAGCAGAACTGTAAAATGAGTCTAACATTCAGCTTTGAACTTTACGCTAAGAATTGCTGAACTGCTTTGTTAAAGAGCTGCAGGCCAAGCCTTTAACCTGCACACTCAACTCACTTATTGCCTGCCAACTTTCCTTTACTGAGACTTAACTACTTACAGGAGCAGAGTACATGGTCTTGATGTTTCCTCTAAACTTCTCTGTAGCTTCAAAAAACAAACACTCAACACCAGACTTCTGGGAGCGTAAGTCATTGATCTAGAAGACAAATAAACCTGCATCAGATGTCATTAAAACAAGAACACCCCACCAGAGTTGAGCTTCCATTCCAATTATTTAAAACAATGTTTCTTAATACACTGTGCTGATGATACAAAATAGGAGAGTCGGTAGTTCAGCTCTAGAGAAATATTTCCTTACAACTCATGCTTTTTTTTTTTTTTAATACAACTTTTGCTGCCCACTCATTTGTAAACAAATGAAGAACTAACATGAATGGCCTGAGTATTTAATGCAATATAATGCATTCAGAGACTTCAAGAATGGAATAGGAAGGGCCCTAATACAGACTTAACTCAGTCAAGACATCCAATCAATTCCACTTTGCTTTAAATTATAACAAAAATTTGCAGCTAGAAAAGTAGGCTCTAAAATTCCACAAAACCAGTGAACATAGATTTGAATTTTATCATGGTTGAGAGCCTCTTACCTTGTTGAGGAGGAACTCATCCAGGTGTTTCAGCTCATTGGCATTTGCAATCTCGCGGACCATGGACGCTCGCCAGTTCTGGGACACGCTCGAGATCTTGCTGATCTTTATGGTCCTGTTCTTCTTTGCTTTGCTGATCTCCTTCACTGCCTGGGGGCGGCCTGGCTGCCCAGAAGAAGCTGGGAAAGAAATCAATTTGCATATTAAATCAGGGTGAATTCTGCAGTTTGTTTCCTCTATAGCCATGCAAAACCTCACAGAAAAGACATCAGCATGCTAAGGGTTAAATCACACAAACTCACCTTCTGAAACTTTCTGAGTTCCTCCCATGTCTGTAAAGAGGACACAAGATACAAGGGAGAGGCCATCTCCTTCCTCAATCATATCAGAGCTCTCCTTTGGAATTTTCTTGTCTGTTTTTTTCCCCAAAAGTCTACGCAAAGGACTTTTAAAAGCAGACCTGAACACAAAAGCAGATACAAGTGTGTCCCATTAGAAATGGAAGCTGGTTCTGCTACAAGAACAGGCTCATAACAGTTACACACAACAGGATTAACCTGTATTAGGAACATTTTAGGTCCAACCTGCAGGAAAAATGAGCAGCACAAAAAAAGAAAGACAATGTGAAAGCACACTCAGACTTTCTGATATTTACTAGATTAGAGCACAATTTTCAGCACACACAGAGACAACACATCCCATATCCAGAACACCGTTTCTGGCTCAGGAAGTCCCTGAGCTGCAGAGTGTCACAAGCTGGAAGAGAAGGCCAGGGAAGTGGCATGACATGCTTGCTGGGTTCTTCAGCTTTTCTCTTGGGGTCTCTCTACAAGAGCCTTTGATCTGAGCTGTAAATTGGTTCTTATTTTAAAAAGAATCAGTTCAAAGACAAGTGTTATGCAAGAAGCAGAGAAGCTGTTCCCCAGCAGGGTCAGATATCAGGTCCACTGCAACATGAAGCAGTAACAGTCACTCCGGTAGCTGATGCCAACACGTGTCTCTCCACAACTGCAGTCTCAAGATGCCCAATTCAAGTACAAGTGGAAAATATCCTTTTTTTCCCCATTTTCTCAAACACAGGCCAGTCACACACACAGCACATACTTGGCATCTCCCTGCTGACTCGCTGGTTGCACGAGAACAGCCGTGTCCAAGGTAGGTAAGTGGTCACTGAGCTTCTTCTGCACAGGGTATTTCTTGGTGCCTTTTTCTTCTTCTATCATATCTGGTGATTGCTACAGTAGAGAGGAGGCATCAAAAACTACATTGTGAGTGAAATAGATTGTCTAAATGGTTTTAAAAAATAGAATGGTAAAAAAAGTTTGCTTCATCAACACAAAACACTTTAGCTAAAAATATTAGCATATTAATATAAGATCCAAGTATATTTAATGCTTTAATCACAGATCCATTTATTTAAAATTAAGTTTTCAAACTCTTGTATAATATTTGCTAAAGATTTTTTTTACATGGATATCAAACAAAAAAAAAATTCAACCTGAAGGAACACAGGCACACAGAATACTACAGAATTGTTTACAATTCTTTAATATTTATAAGCAAGGATAATTAGGTATAAATATGCACAATAGCATCAGTACCTGATTCATGGCAACAGTCTGGGCCAGTGTTGAGAGATCACTTAATGAAGCTGAACTCCCCTTCTTCCTGCAATGTTACAGGATAAGTTTCCAAATATATATTTTAATTAAGTCTGTAGCCCCTTAATATTTAACAACTTTTAAATAAGGTACATATCGATGTTATATCTGAGACAGAATCTTGATCAGCTCTTGCAACTCACTTTTAAATGCAAAATTTACTGGACAAGTGAAAAAAAGATGGGAATGTCAGATTTCCTGCCATATCAGAGGGATGATGGTTGCAAACTGCAGCTCACTAAAATTTTGTTTTCAGTGGATAAAAGACACATGAAAATACACTCCCGACTCTACTTCATCTAAAGCCCTGACTCTCCATTTTAATTCAGCCAGGCAGGCTTTGTATCTTTTGTGAGCTTCTGAAAACATTGTGCCCATACAGATTCCCTGCAGGACTAGGAGCCAAGGAAAAGCAGTTGTTCATAGCTCCATTTGCTCCCATAATATGGCCAGGCTGCCAGGAATTCTCCATCTATATTTAAACATTCCAGATATCCGTTTTCTGTAAAGTAAATAAAAAGGAAGCTGCCCTTACTCCAGTTGATCTTGAGGAGACTTATCCACACGTGTCCTTCCATCCAAGGATTGACTCAGCACATCATTCTGACCAGCATCAGACTGTCTCTTGCCTTTCCACTTCTCCCTCTTGTACTTCAGCTTCTCTGGGTCATCCACATATCTCTGGATTGCAGAAGAAGTGGGACTATCCAGGTCTTTGGTTGCCCTCTGACCAAGACGTTTGTTTTTATCTGCCCAGGGGTCAGATGGACTCCGAAAGCTCCCAGTAGCTGACAACATGTTATGAAGATTCAGTGCAAGATTCATGGGCCTTTCAGGGCAGGTAAAGCTTTGGCTGCCTTTTATTTGGTTACTCTGATTCCCTTGTGTTTTTGTTCTATCAGCTGCCACATCACCCTCTTCTGATACCAGTGGTTGCTCAGGAACAGAACCACTTTCCTTTATCTCACTTGATGGTGGTGTGCCTGGAATGGCTTTTTCTTCACTTGGACTTTTCTCTTCCTCACTGCTTCCCTGAGGGACAGTATAATCTTGTGCTGTGGATTTCTCTGGCACTGGAACAGTTTCCAGGGCCTCTTCAGAAGTGGTTTGTTCCTCAAGGCACAGCGAAGATGGTCCTTCGAAGGACAACAGGACGTGCTTGTTCTGCAAGTCGTTGTGTTCCAGCCCCCTCTGCCGACGAGATTCCCTCTTCTCCCGGCTGGTGGTTACTTTCTCCGAGCCCTCTGTCGTGTTCTTCTGGGGTAATGCGGCTATCTCAGATGAACCTAGGTTTTCAGCTTGTTCATTCTGAGCTCGATCTTCAGCTTGTTCATTCTGAGCTCGATCTTCAGCTTGTTCATTCTGAGCTCGATCTTCAGCTTGTTCATTCTGAGCTCGATCTTCAGCTTGTTCATTCTGAGCTCGATCTTCAGCTTGTTCATTCTGAGCTCGATCTTCAGCTTGTTCATTCTGAGCTCGATCTTCAGCTTGTTCATTCTGAGCTCGATCTTCAGCTTGTTCATTCTGAGCTCGATCTTCAGCTTGTTCATTCTGAGCTCGATCTTCAGCTTGTTCATTCTGAGCTCGATCTTCATCCCCAGCAGCCTGATCCAGCTCTGTTTCATGTTTCACAGGTAGCTCATGTGTTGCTGGCTCACTCTGCTCATGCTTGCTCTTATCATCCTCTCTGTCTTCATCTTCCTGCATTTCTCTCTGCTTTTCTTCAGCTTTCTGCCTTTCTACAGCCATTTCCTGATATCTGTTAAGAATTTGTAAGATGAAAACACAAATATTTAATGCCCAGTGGTCAAAGAAAGTACCAACTGCTTAAATGCAGCTCAAATAGCAATACAAGCACAAAGTACAGCTACAGTCCCAGTGTGCCTGCAGGGAGGTGTCTGCTTGTCAGGACTGGCAGCATCAGTGCAGCTCAGCTCAGTAAAGCTCAAGTCCTGAGCACTTAACCAGTGTCCACACACCACTGGTCACTTGATACTGAAAGATCATGTGGTAATAACTATCTTTAACTTCATAGAGTCCCAAAATGGTTTGGGTTGGAAGAGACCTTAAAGCCCATCCAGTGTCCATAGGCAGGGACACCTTCCACTAGCCCAGGTTGCTCCAAGCCCTGTCCAACCTGGCCTTGGACACTTCCAGGGATGGGGCAGCCACAGCTTCTCTGGGCAACAGTTTATTAAGTTGTTTATTCAGTCAAAACGTCACACAAACTGAGCTTGGCAGGTGAAGCCGAGTAGCTGAGTCATATTGCTCCTTCTCCTTTACCTCTTACGTGTCAGGTGCCCTCTGACCAGGGCCTGCAGGAGACAAATCCTCCTCCTGTGCTGCAGGAAGTGTTTCCTCTCCTGGTACCGTCTCCAGGCTGCCTGGATCTCGATGGCAGCATTGCTCCTCTGCAGGGCCATCCTGATACAGCGGGAACGCCAGCAGGCCTGGAAGGGATATTTCTGAAGTAAGAAAGAGAGGGCTTCTTCAAGGTGGGGAGCGTTACATAACAGTTTGTTGGGAAAACAAGGTTGGCAATTCTTACAGATACCTGTAAAACAATGGCCGCCTGCCGTGTCCTGAGAAAGCGCCTCCTTTCCAAAACCATCCTGAGCCAGCTCTGGAGAAGAATGATTTTCCTGATCACTTCTTTGTGTAGTGTATCCTGTAGTATCTGCCTTTCAGCCTCTTTCATAAAAACCTGCCCAGTTAAAGAAAAGTTCATCAAAAAGCAGTTAACAGGAGCCTTTGAGCCCTCACTGGAGGTATAATGAGATAATGGTAATGCTTAGCACTGCACCAAACCTTACTGGCTGACAGCATGCCCAAAAAGTTAAAAGTCCTTTTAAATTTCAGAGTTTGCATTCTAAAACATACAACTGTATTTACAGCCTTCAAATCACAGGTACCTTCTAAAATGAAAACATCGACCTGTTTGACAAATGCGAATAGCACCAATACCCCCCAAAATATCCATATATTACAGATCTGTACTGTGTCAAAAAAACAGGTTGGCATTAAAACCAAGGAGGCAACTGTAACATCTGTGTCAACATTTGCTAGTTAAAACAGCTCATTTTAGTACAAAATGCAGAGAAGAGTAACACCTGTAAAAGAACGGCACTGAATTTTGCAGTGTACATCAATGTTTCTTACTGCCTTACAGAAAGTTTCACAGACCTTGGTCTTCCCTATTTGATAGTAGCTTTCATTCAGTTTTAGTTTATTCAAATAAGCACAAATGTCTTCCTTAGAGGCTTTGGCATCTTTGGGCAGTAACACCTGAAATTGGTCTATGAATTCCTGTGAAAAGCAGAGACAGCAAGAGACCAAAGTTAGAAGACAATTCACAAGTTTAGAGTTTTAGCTTTAAAACATAAATCTGACTAAGACGCTTATGCTACAGAAACCTGAAAATACTTCAAACAGAACTATTTTTCCTATTCTGTAAAATGCAGGCTTCAGTCCAGTTAATGGTAAAGATCACCTGTATGTGATCCCTAAAGCTACCGGATTGTTTTACAGAAAACTAACTCCCACATGGAAGCAGTACTGTGCAGCACTGACTGAATGCTTTCCTTCATGCAACAAGGAACAACTTAGTGGCAGATGACTCACAATAGTTCAACTACAACTTTTTACCACGCAGGCTCTCTCAAAACAACAATGCATTTTTACAGTTCACCCCAAGTCATGAGCTTCATATGAAGAGCCACAAAAGACTCTGAGGCAACATGTGCTTTTCCAAATAGAGCAGATATTTCTGAAAACACAATGCAGTTCCTTACATACCTGGAATGTGTATTTGGCACTGTAGCCAGATCTCCTGATCCTCACAGTTTCTAGCATTCCCGTGTACCGTAACTGCTGAAGCACCAAGTTTTCATCAAAAAGCATTTCTTTCTGAAAGACATCAGCAGACAACATGCAGTGAGCGCCTGAAGAGTGACAATGAACAAGTTGAAAGAGAGATATTACAAGGCTGAGCCTTAGACCCTCAGCACCCAGCTCAGCTCCAGGGCAGCCTCACCTTCTCTGCGTTGGAGCGGATGCAGCGGATGAAGAAGGGCTCAGCTCTGCCCAGGGTCTCCAGTAACTTATTAAGTGAATTCTGAAATGAAACATTCAGAAATATTTTTCTTCTTCAGATATCAGCGTTTTGAGTTGTGTTTGACTGCAGTGCAGCTTCTGCCTCAGGAATAAGATCTTTCAGGTCTCTTGGCTATATAAAATCCTTTTTCATCCAAGCAGAGGTTCTCCCACACTCCACGGCACATCCCTGTCTTTGCTTTTCTCAAGAGAATTTAAAGTAGGGTTTGCTTATGCTGCAACAGTAGCACTAGATCTGCATACAAGGATGAGGTTGGTTGGCACAGAGAACTAACACATTTCACAGCATAAGGGGAGTCTTTAAATGCACTGACTTTAATCAAGTAATAACCCTACTTCAAGACAAATCTCAAGAATAAAACCCATTGTTTTCCAAGCAAGACCAGCCTAGATTAGCCCAGGAGGGCCTATTCCCTGAGGGTGCACCAGGGGTGTGTCACCTACCTGGAACTGGGCACTTATGCTGGGGGGTTTCTTCTTCTTGTGCAAGTGCAAAAGGGACTTTGTGGTTCGGTCGTGCAGAGTCATGCTCACTATGAGCTTCAGCGATTTGGAATCCAGCAAGTTCTAGAAGAAATTTTTCATAATCGACAAAGTGCAGGTCTCAGTTAAAGGGGAAATACTTCTGTCTGCATCCAAACGAGTAAAAATGAAACCAGCTACCTAGAGTTCCACATTCAATGGCATGTTACATTTCGTAATTATTTCTATTTTGGACGAAAACACTCCTTAAGAGGGAAACTTTTCCACTGCCCCACCCCAAGAATATAAGGTAAACAAGAAGAATTACATAATCACTGTGTTTGCCTTCCCTGATTTGAAGTGACTTTATGCATTTATGGCACCTCCAGTCTAACTAAACAGATGCTAGCTCACAATTTTTTCCTGTTTAACAATTCTTATAAAGGTGAACATTTATCTATTCTTAGCTTGTCAGAAGAGCATAAACAACACAACTTTCCTACCCTGTGAAACAATATTTTCTGCAGTGAGTTCTGGCAATCAAAATTAAGTTCACAGTGCAAAAAAAAAAAACAAAAAAAACCAAAAAAGAGAAATCTAAATTTTCTGAATAACTTTACCTTGGGAATGATCTGCTTCTGTTTGATACCTTTACTTTTCCTGTTAAAATAAATATAATTTAGGAAAGAAATACACATGATTTTTTGTTATTTCAGCAAGCCATAAGGTATATGAGATAAGATGAAGGACAGAAGAAAATGAGCACAAACAGTAGCAGGGTGTGTTCACGCGTGTCTCTCGCAAGTAATCAATGCAAGAAATGCAAACTGCTTTGCAACAAGAATGTCTTTTTATTAAATAGACTCTGTAGGTATTGGAAGCTTTCAAAAGTGAAAGATTTTCTCTGAAGTTAAAGCTGTTCCAAACTGCACTGTTTCAGAGACTGTTTCAGTGTGAGTTATTCTATTGAACTGTACAGTCACTGAACTCTTGTTTAATACTAAGGCACTACCAAATAAAAACATGTGACTCACAAGTTACTGTTGCTTGCAGCAGAACCCCTGTGAAAGTACCTAACTAATTCCAGAAGGACAATGCATGTCCCAGCACCCCACCTGGGAATTCTGGAATGTCTGAGCTCATTCCCAGAACTGCCTGGAGCAGGATACACCTCAGGCACTGCTCCCATCCACACACAGAAGGTGAACAAGTGGAAGCCCTTAGAAACAGGCCTGCAGTTCACATCCTCCTGACTCCAAGCGTGTGTGAGGCAGGTTCCAGCTCCGTGCCACCAAGTTTACTTATTATACATTTACTTATGTATTATACAATTATACAGTTACTTATTATACAATGGAGCCCAGATTCATTTTCTGACACAGGCATAGAATTGTACATGTAAATACTCTTAACCCAGGAATATATCCAGCCTCTGCATCCTGAATTTCAGGAAACCATTCCTTATACCTTGTGAGAGATCTCACTGTTGAATATTTTGCAACAACAAGCTCATACTTGGGTTTAAAGCAAGCTTACGTGAGAAGCAGGCTTAACTTTCATCTAATGCAATGAAGCAACAAAGCGTTCCCTACAGGCTATTTTTCAGAAGAGATGTTTTATTCTTCATTGTCTTGCTTAGTTTTTTGCAGAAGACAAGCTTGAGACAGGTATCTTTTTTAGGGAGTGGAGTAACTGCTTGGTTCTTGTTGCATTTTCAAAGCAATCACCAAAGCACCAGAACTCACATGAAGTGGGAGTGGTGTTGAAGGTGGTTGAGTGACCGAAGCAGCTTGCAGGGATCCCCCCCCTGCCAGGGCAGTCCTTTAATACTGGCGATGATCTGCTCATGCATGTCTCTAAAATGGTCCACAGCAACACAAAGGTGGCAAACAGAGATACACAGCAATGAGGAGGGGGGGAAAACAGGAGTTAAAACCCCAAGAGATCCCATCATCAAGTATGCTCCAAACTGTGGCAGGTCGATCCCAGGCTACTTCTTTGTAAGTGTGAATGATTCTGATGTCAAGTCAGCACTTTCTACTCCATCAGTGCCCTAAAATTTAATTGCCAGGGTCTCATTCTAAACTTACTCTCTAATTCTACCTTTTAATGCAAATTCTTGAGCCATCAATTCAGAAAATGGAGAGAAATTTAGCAAAATGTACTTAATGGCCAGGGAACCCTTTTGTTTAGCCAAGGGTTATATCCTTTTCAGATAGATATAAGCTTCTTAATAATCAACCATAAATATTTTTAACATATATTTGATTACTAAAATGAGGCTACTTAAACACACATCAGAAAAGTAAGTTACAAACAAGTTGTTAGGAGGATACTTGAAGAAATTTTGGTTTTCATTTCCATTTCAAAGTTATTCACGTTTAGCTTTTCAAAGTAAGACTGGGGTGGTCTCTAATTCATGGCAGATTCCATTCTTTAAGCATGCACTGTGCTTGTGAAGTGTTGTGTCCTGGCACAGAACTTACCTTCTTTACTCTCCAAAGAGGCACAAATTAAAAATAACAGAAGTGTAAGAATCACTTCTGACTGTTAGATGCTCTCACCATTCTGAGCAGCAGCACTATTACAGACACCTGTTGCTTCCCTTGGTTCCTCTGAATATTTTGGAATATCAAGATTTGTTTTAAGATATCCCAAGGAAACAGATCTGTTATTCTATGACTAATCCTTTCACCCAAACTGGATCTTTAGTTCTTAATTACCTCAAGTGACAGAGGCTGTCCAGGATGAAGTAATTAGGAAGCAGCATGAAGTCACTGCTTTATGTGCTCCATGGCTTCATTGTTACCCAGAGGATTCTCAGAAGGTCAGTATGGCCTGGAAATGTGCCTCCCTGGCCTGGAAGTTCAGGCCTATTGCTACTTACTTCTTGTTTTCATGGAAAGGAATGAAGTCTTGGAAAGCATTTATAGTGTAATCCTCAGAACAATCAAATGAGAAATCAAGCACTGAGTAGCTGCAAAAGGAACATATATAAAGCCTAAATACTCCATAGAAAGGCAAATCTGCCTATAGAGAACACTGGAGGCAGTTCTGTAGCACATGCCTCCCTCCTAATGATGTCACAAGGCTGCAAAAACATGAGTGCTCCTATGAATCCTTCAGTGACACAGACTGGCTGCAGACGAACACAATGCTAAAAGCAACACACACCAAGCACAGAGAACTCAAAACCCCAGTGGTAAATGGGTCTGAGGCTGTCCCCAACATGTGGTAGCACTGGGTCTTACATAAAATGAGCTGGAGTGTTGTTTTCATAGTATCATAAAGGCCAAAGAAAACAAGAGAGAAGAAATGAAACTTGCTCTCCTTATGGAAAGATCTAGTTGATAATTTGATATATGAAAATGCAACTCAGTAATTCAGCTCTTTTCCCTGGACAGGTTAAGGATGTTTTCTCACCGATAAACTTTTTCTACTGGAGTATTGGATCTCTGGAGTTCAGCAAGGGGAACTCTGGGTCCTTGACGTACCACTCCTGTCAGGAAATAACCAACAAGTTGTATTTTGACAAAGATACGACCATAACAGACAGAAAAAAACACCCCATCAACTGTAACAAGAAAAATATCTATCCAAGGGCCTGGAGTTTTTATTTAGGATTTTATCAAGCTACAGCACTTTGCTTCTCAAACTCCCTACTTCTAGAAAGTAAATTGCAGCTGCTCAGAAAAGCTTCTTAAAATTAATAGTTATGAACTAATAATTTTAACTATGAATACTCATTTGAAACTTCAGAGAGGTCTAAGAAGATCAAAACTAGTGATGAGAATGCATACCAGAACTAGAACTATCTTCCCCAGCTTCACAGAACATCACAGAATATTCTGAGTTGGAAGGGACGCACAAGGATCAGAGTCCAACTCTTAAGTGAAGGGCCCACGTGGGGGTCAAACCCACAACCTTGGTGTTATCAGCACTATGCTCTGACGTACTAGGACTTCAAATTTGGCACAGCCTGACATGGTGCACTGATTGGAGCTGGAAGGCTGAATAATTTCAGGTAAAACAGTGACAGCCTCCTTGATGTGTGACTGTTAAACCATTTTCACCAGTCGCTTAGTGCCAAAGATTGTGACTAGTTGATGCGGTTTTACCACAAACCTGCTGGTTCTGCCAGCGAGCACTAACCAACTGTAGAGGATTCAGTGTTCCCAGAGCAGTTTTCCCTGCCATACCTGCAGTTTTCTGAGCCCTCTGACGTCCCCCCTCTGCAAACACAGCCATGGCCCTGATGGCCGCGCGCAGCACGGCCCAGCGGAACACGGCCACAGGGTCCATCCCAATGAGCTCCCGCACAAACGCACTGTCGCTGCCCCGCAGCAGAGCCACGATATCCGGCCTCATGTAATCCATGTTCTTCTCCCTGAAATCCTGAAAAATAGCCACATTGAACTACAAGCTGTGCTTTGACCTAAGCTATCACTATTCAGAATACCTCATTATTCCAAATAATTCTCACTATAGTGTTACCCTCCAGTCTACACTACCACCACCCAAAGTACAACTGAGTACCCTTTAATCCAGCTCATTCCCAGCAAATTTTCTACACCCTTACAAAAAACTCCCTCAGAAAGGTAAGGATTATTTTATGGTCATCAGATCCATCACCTACTTTGATCTGGTATTTCACTTTTCCAGCAAAGTGGCGGATGATAAAAGCAGGCTCCATCACTGGGGTTCCAACAAAGAACTTGTTCTCCTCATGTTGTTGTTTGAATTTCGCCAGTAGAGTTTGGTTGGTGGCATGTGGAAAACTGGGAATACAAAACAAAAGAGGCCAGCTACTTCTCAAATATGGGTGTGTTAATTATGGTGACAGAGTGAACACCTATTGATCCTTGTGAAAAGTATTAATTCTCCAAGATCTCTACACCTGCTCTGAATTTTAGAGGTGGGCTTAATTTCTGGACCCAAACCAAACAGCTCCACACACAGCAGAATATTCTGTATGTCAATGTTTCCTCCCATTTCACCAGCCAAGTTTAGTTAGGACATTAACTATTTGCCACATTTGCTACTTAATGTTCCAAGGAATTACATACATGCATTTTATTTTAATTAATAATTAGTAATTCCACGGTAAACCACAAACATGGAAGTTTGTAAATTTGCTTAAGCCAAAGTTCAGTTCTAGCATTAATTTATATCACCACCATATTGGAGTCATTAGAAGCAAACTACAGTGTAAATCAGGGTCATAAAGGACTCTTCGCTTCCCACAATATTCCTCTCCTTTTTCAAGTGCTGTATTCATGTTCCCATTCAGTCCTTCCCTCCTCCCTGCCACACATGTTTTTCCAGAAGAGGTTTGTTGCTTACTTGCTTTCTTCATCCAGAAGATAGAACAGGCCAGTGGGCTTCTTGCTGATTAAGTGAATGCAGGCCACATTATCAGTATAGTCAATATTGTGCCAAGTGATCCCTTCACTCTTATATTCCTCCTGTGTAGTTCAAGAAAATTCCCTCATCAGTACAGTGCCCTGACCTTTGATGTCCTGTGCTCTAAGTGCTTAAAACACATCCTCAAACAGCTACAGCAAGTGGAGTTTGTTAGTCCAGGCAGCAGAGACGGAAATAAGGAAAATTTATAAATTAGAACAGAACAGCAGGCAGACAGACTCAGATTAAAGGTCCACTTAGGCACATCACTCAACAGTGCATGTTTGGGGTAGAATTATTTAAAAACAAAAGTAGAGAAAAGAATGTTCTGCTGTGCTCTGCCTTCCCAGCAATCACAGTCTCTGACCCTGGACTTAGACATTACCTCTACAGCATTCCAGTAAAGCCCTGTGTAGACACATCAGAGGAGTTTAAGTCTATTTTTCTCTTCCACAATTCTTGTATTATAAGAAATGACAAATACTTATTATCAAGTTCCAGAATTTTCAAATTGCACTGGCAGAAGTTTCAAAACAGGTAGTTAAGCTCTACACAAACAGCACCAGAACTTCCCCAAGGAAGCAATGGATATTGCCTAGGTTCAGAAAATTTGGAGCTCTCTGACAAGAGAACGTGAAGCTCTTCTGCTGAAATGACAATGCATCAAATGCTCAACAGGACAAGCTTCCTGCTAAGTTACAAATAAAATACCAGATTTTCTTAATGCTGTAAATACCCACAAACTAATGATAAGATACTAAAGTAAAAGAAGGTATCATACAGAAAATCAAGTAAGTTTTATATTAAACAAAGGACAAAGAGCACCTCTCAGTGCTCTAGATGATGATGATAAATGCATTATTTTTAAGTAGGTAGAATTCAGCCTGCCCAACAGACTGCTCAGTGTGTGCTGCCTTACACAACTAAAGTGCCATTTTCCACAGACAAAAAAGCCTTTCTTTAAAAAGATATAGAGATCCCCCTGAGGGCCCTCAGGCTGCAAGAGATACAGGAAGTGGGTCATTCAAGGATTAAGCTTATTTGGAAAAACAGCATTAGAAAAAGAAAAAAGACAATGCAACTATTTACTCTGGTCAGCCTGGATAGCCAGTTCTGTCATAAGTTACAAAACACAGACCTCAACGTTATGTTTATACACAAAATTTGGATGTTTAGTAATCTTCCTTTCTTTAAAATGCTTGTTTAAATTTATCTACATGTTGTTGACAAACTGCCACATACTACAGAATGACTTCTTCCTTTTAGCAAAGTGACTTGAGAACCACATTTTCACACAAAGCAGAAAAAACTCCAAGTTTCTAGAGCAAAAGCCCCCAGAGCTCAGTCTAGAAACAGGATCTGTTCACTCCTGCAGCACCCAAAGTGCTCTGTAAGATAATACCATCTGCAAACAAGTAAATCAACACATGCCAGTAACATCAGGATCTCAGAACTACTGCCAGTATCAACATACAGTTGTATCCCCTAAATGCACTTGGGTGGGAAAAGCAACAAAGACTTATTGAATACTTAAGAACTGATAAAAAGAAGAGAAACTGTTTCCTACTCATTAAAACAAAGCAAACCCACCTCACCTACAGACTTTTAATATCAAACTTTACAGTTTCATTTGGGATCACCTGAATGTTGTCTTAGTTTTTGCAGTTAAACAGGAACTCAGTGCCAGCCCTCTGAAGAAAGATCTCACTTCCATGAGTACACACAGAGCACTAAATAGATGAACAAAGCCACTACTTTCAAACAATAACAAGCAATAATGAAACAAGAAGTTAAAAAAGTAAAACTTCCAGAAATATTCAAACAATTATGCCAAAGGATTTTGCAGAACAGAGGTTAAGTTTGCATAATACAGGAGCTCTTGATAAAAAGTCTTATTTCTTGTTTCTTACCTGTTCCAATTTGAAAATGTGCTGATTGAAATAATACTGAAGCTGCTCATTTGCATAATTTATGCAGAACTGTTCAAAACTGTTGGTTTCAAAATCTTCAAATCCAAAGATATCAAGTACACCAATCGACAGACACTAAAAGAAGACATGGAAATCTAGTTAATAGTCTGTTATACAGTGCCTTAACCCCCAAGAGATAAACAGTACAGAAAGCATTGCAGTCTAAGCTGATAGATTTTGAATAATTGAATATTTAATTTGAATATTTAAGAGTTTTGTCTATTCTAAAAACAGAGATGATTAAATATTACCAAGAAATTTACCATGGGCTTCTTGATCAAAATTTATCCCAGATACCTGAACACATCATTGATCTAAGGACACAACTGCCTGGAAAGACTTGTTTTGGGAGAAACTTACTGTAACAGATTCCTCCATGTCCTTCTTATTAAGAAGTGCATGATTGATTCTTAGAACAATCCAATCAAACAGAGCACTGTACAGGGACTTTGCCATGGAATCACGAGCTGTTATTGCCTGCAGATCAAACAATGTTCAGAACTTCATTTAAAGAAAACCATTTCTGTTTCAAACCAGTGTCACTCACAGATTGAAATCCCAGCAGAGACAAATAAAATCACGATTTTCCTTTAATGCCAACTTCTAACTTTCCTAACACTTTTACAATGTCAAAGTGTACCATATTAGCTTTTTTAACCCAAAAAAGTAAGTTTCAGTTATTTAAAATCATTCTACTAATGTTCTTTTACTCACCTCATTGAGACTATAAGGCAAAATAAGCTTATCATTAGCAGTCACAGTTTTTCTTTTTGTTAGCACTTCTACCAGGATTTCTCGTTTAACCTTCAAAACAAGAGAACAAGAGTAACTGTTACACTCCAGCTCCTCAATGAGTAATTTGACAGCAACAGTGGACATAGAACTTCCTCAGAGAAACCCAAGCTCTTTGACAACATCCACATTTATCATCCATTTACAACTTCTTTAAATTATTCTCAGCTTGGATTCATTCAGATGTTTCCCTGTGGTGGCAAAGAACACACCTGCACTGAATCTACTCCTGAGCAGCTCTATTATTGGTGAGTAAACAAATTCTATTTCCATGCTACATGTCTAACCTAAATGATTTCCCCAATTTCATCTGTTTCCCCTCCCACAAGACAAATGTAGCAGAAGTACTAAAAAGAAGATCAAGATACAGCAACTGGGATATTATGAGAAATAAAATAGTCTGGTTTTATTATAAGTAGAATTAAGTATTAAGTGAGGGTGTTGGGATTTTTTTTTTCCTTTCCTATCTCTCATTTGACTACAAGAATTTAGGCGCCCCGCGAAGATTGTAAGGTGGAAGAGCCCCATCAGGGCTTGACACCAAGGGAATGTCGCGGCCAAGGTAGGATACAATATATATAAAAATGAAAAATTTACTCCGGCCACATGGTAGGTCTTTGTATGCAAAACAACCCCCTGTACTGTACAGGGGGATACGTCATCAACCAATCAGGTGGGAAGGCGACACCCCTCCCCAGTTTGAAAAACTACCTTTTAAGGTAAAATACCTGTTACCTGTTGAATATTCAACATCTTAGGTGGCCAAGAGTACAAAGGGGCGTGGGTTTTTGAATTCGGGGTGCTTTTTCCAGGCATGTAGCTTGGGACTGCACCCAGTGCTGCAATAAAGTATTCTTTCTTGTAAGTTTCCCTCTCCTGCACATGTTTTTGCTATTTTATAAATTGGAAGAAGAGATTTTTCTCACAGATATCCAAGTGAAATGCTGATGCAGAGCATGACAAACAGGTGTATCAAACATTAGGGATTAAGAGAAATACTTTACTTTTAACAGCTGGGAAAGAATGTCCAACACTTCAGGAGGTCCCACGTCCAACCCTTCATCCCGACCCGTGGCTTTCTTCTTGTATGTGACATTACCCAAGTAGAGAATAGCTGAAAGTATTGAAAAAATCCTAAGGAAGAAAAATTAAATTTCATAAGAATTTTTCTTATGAGATCATTGTAACATGTTAACAGAGCCAATTCTACTTCAAGAATTTGTCTGTAAGCCCTGAAACACTCAGGTCTCCTTGCTTCCTACTGAACTGCTTGTGATGCCAATGCACATAGAGCTTATTGCAATTCATGAACATCAACTATCAGTAACAAAAGTTTAAAGAATTCTACTTACTGTTTCTTTGTTGCTGAAAGGAAGCCAACCATCTCCATGGCTTGTTTCAACCTCTCAAATTCATGCCGGAGATCTTCCCCATCTTCAATTTTCAAGTTATGCTGTGAAGAGAGACTCACAACTAAAGGCAGAGAACAAAGCCCAAACATCACAAGAAAACAAGCATAATCTGTCCTGCTTCCTTTCATCTTTGACATAAAAGGCAGACAAACCTTACCAATGCACTGGTATACACCTGTCACAGGTTACCTGGTTGAGGTAGAAATAATCTTCAGGTTGCTTGAGGTGAAATTCTTTACGTTCTTCCTCACTGACTCCAAGTAGCAAATAATAGAAGACATGGTAGTTCCTACAAAGTCAATACATTTCTCTCATGAAAATACGATTTTTATTTTATGTACTTCAGATGCTCTTCAAGTCTTCCATTGATTGGAATTCTTTTGGAAAACTGTTTTAATCTCTTACCTTTCATCTTTCTCTTGAGAAACCAGACGAGATTTTTCAAGCAGGTATTTTTCAACAACAGCCCTAAGGAGCCACCAGAAAATGAAAAAAACATGAGGGCAAAAAGAAAAGACTTCAGAAAACATCAGGCAACAACTGCCAAGAGAGTTCAAATAAGTTCAAATAATGAGATCTGCACTAAAATATACAAGAGAATAACTTAGTTACTACCTTAAACCTAAAACAGGAATTTCAGTAGGCCTATATTATGATTGGAACACAGAGAAATATCTAAGGACATCTATCTGCAGTGCTCGGGTTTAGTGGAGATAACTGGAAACAGGCAGACAAAGCAAAGAAAGTGCTGATGAAAATTGTAAACAGAAACAAGATATACAGAATGGTAACAACATGTTATCCCGGGAGATTAACAGTTATCTGACAAGGAATGTAAAGACTACAAAACCCCCCAAATATTCCAGGTAACTGTGTGACTCTCAGTTCAACAGGACAGTGTGTATGCCAGCCTAGAATGGAAGCCAGACAGAAATCCCCTCCCGGTGTGATAAAGTAACCTCCTGAATGAGATTTAAAGTCCTTGACGTGAGATACAATGACTGAGGCCAAAGTTTGAGCAGCTTTTTCTCATGCTAAAGACAAAACAAGTGTATTCACATTGTATCAATCTCCTGAGCTAGTGTGACTTCCTCTGAAAAGCTGCCAAACTTGTTCAGAGTAACACTCAAAGCAAATGTGCTACAGAGTTCCCAGTCACTTATGTGATTGCAAACATGAAAATGATCCAAAGGGAGGAAATATTGGAGCACAAAGATCAGTGATGGCTCCTGACACTCCATAGTGCAGCAAAACTAGCAAATACAGGCACAGGATATTTCACGTTTGACACACAATTTCAATTAATTAAAGTAATAATCTTATCACTTTTTTAATCTCTCTTAATTGGTGTTTAAACTGTTCTTTAAAATGGCTTCCTTAAATATATTTCACTTCTCTCCAACTCCTCTTAAAAACTCAGATCTTCTGTTTTTCCATGCAAAATGAAGTGTTACGAAAAAGCCCTCATTTAGCAGGAAGGTAAAGATGCAGCAGCAAATCCTTAACCTGATCCAGTTGTACAGCAAAGTAAGGATATTATGCATGACCTGACAATTCCATAAAGCTCAGTTAGAGACTCTCAAACATTTGATATCCAGCAAGGCTTCCCCAGTTCCTGCAGAGATCACCCCACAACCACCCTGTGCTCTACTTACCCCCTGACAATACCATTCTCTAAATAGTTGACTTGAATGAACTTCCCAAAACGACTGGAGTTGTTGTTATGTGCTGTTTTTGCATTTCCAAAAGCCTGTAATAAAGCAAAATGAGTTAATTTTCAATTAATGTGTCAACTGCCAGCTTCCCAAGCTCTTCTGTGCATTGTCCAGACCCCCATTAGCTTCCAGTATAAACTTGGAATACTATGGAAATGGTAGCACATAGATACCAAAAAGGCAGCTCAGGAAGCCCCCATGTTCCTCACAGATCTATATATGTTTATTATTTGCCCCATGCAATAATATTTTGAGGGACTGAGGGAAGGGAATAACACACTCAGATATTTTCAAGAGCACAAGACAGGTAATCACAGCTAGAGAGTACAAATCAGCCTCAATCCCTAACAATTAGGACCTTAGAGAGGATATTCAGCTGGAAGGAGGCAGCACGGACTACCGTGAAACTGCCTCTCCCATACAAGGGACACAAGCTACATCCTATTCCCCATTTTTTCTTTAAGTGAGACAGAACGTTAAGATCTCATTTATAAAGTTAGCCCAAGTTGTGTATTCAAAAAACAGGAGAAAGACAAACAAAACCACTTCGGTTTACAGAACCACTCACTCATTGGGCAGCTACTCTGCTACACAACTTCAAAAAATGTAGTCTCATTTTGAGGTTCTAGGAAAGGGGGGAAAAAATACGTATGGCACAAACCCTAATTGTGCATCTCTAATATTTCTGTTGGATCACGAGTCCTCTGATATCACAAAATATCCTCAGCATGAGCCATGCTTAAAAGTAAGTTATTACATCTAAAAATCCAGTAGAATTAGTTATCGGGAATGTCCTTAACTTTATCAACTCTTAACTGTGTGTTCCAAGCTTAAGGGGAACTTGTCACCCTGTACCATGAGCAGGCAATGCAGCACCTAGAGCAGAAACCCCGTGTAAGATCTAATTGTTTGCAAAAATACCCTGCTCAGGGTAGACTATCCCCAGCAATTCCTGCCGCAGATATTTCCTCTTAAAGCTCCAAGTAATTAAAGCCTCCATTAGGAAATCCTCCTCCCTAATATAGAACATTCAGGGAATGACTGCACAGAAATGCCACCCTCTTCCTCCACACACATACATCCGGAGTAGGAGGGATAAGGACGACAACACAGAACTGAGCTGTTTATACACAAAACTGCCCAATTATGTTGTATTTCCCTACATACATATCATATTATTTGTATATTGAAAGCCTTCCCTTCTCTTTTGGTTTTGGGGCTTTTTTTCCAAAGCACCTTAAGGGTTGCAGCCATACTGCAGTGGGACTCCGGGATCACTAATTCCCAAACAGATTCTCCCAGCTTTCTACCTTTCTATCTCTTGCAAGATTTCCGCCACAAGCTGTCTCATGTTCAGAGAGCCTGAGAAACTTCCTATAAACTGGGAGAATGTCCATAATTCTTAAGGCAACTGTTATTTTTGACCTAAAGGACTAAGCTAAAGGAGCTCTTCCTGTGCAGGTGGACTGTGCTGTAACTGCAGAAGGGCTTCTGGAGGAAGAGGATTTGTGTCCAGCAGTAGCTGAAGAGACAGGATTTGTATGCAGAAGTGCTTGCCTATGGCTGGAGGGAGAGGATTTGTATCCAGCATCTCCCAGATAGCTGAGCTCAGCCTCTGGATTTTCCAAGACCACACTACATATCTCACAATGCCAACAGCACCCCCACTCAGATTTTTCAAAGCAACCATTGCCCAGCCATCACTATTTTTTTGTAGCTTCCATCCAAAGTATCACCCAGATTTCTCTTTTCAAAGCCCATCTTGCATGCACATGCATATTAATATGTGCATAAAATCCAGGTCAACTCCTCAGCAGGGACCAAACCAGAAGTGAAAGTCCTGTGACATGAACACAGCTCTTTAAATCAAACCCCTCTTCCTCTCCAGGACAGTGGCTCAGCTCTGGCTCTCTGACATACACCATCCAACTTCCCATTCTGTGCCTTGGGAAATCTGTTGGAGTGAGCTTTGCCAGACTGCAGAATAATGGACTTGCAAATTGATCTCACAAAAACCTCTTTTTCTAAAGTTTTCTTACCTAAGCCACCAGTTAACCATCAGTTCACTGGTTATATCCAAGAAACCAAACCACAGTACAGCTACATTTGCCACATTATTTTGTAAGAACTAATTTTTGGCATTATAGAGTTAAGAAACCCCATAACTTGGGCTTCCTGACAAACTTTTCTTAGTGATTACTCATGTAAGCAATGAATACAGTTTAAAGGCTCTTATGATCTCATGTGTCTGGTATTTGGTCAAAGCACACAGCAAATTCTTAAAAGCTGATCTAATATTAACAGTTTTTAGGAAAGTTTTCATGAATGCTTTCCTCAGAAGAGCCTTTAACATCTACAACGTTTTACATTCCAAGTCAGTTAACATTTTGGGTAGAGAATATTTTTTTTGTTACATTTAACTTTTAACTCTAATCACCAATCACTGTTACCATGTCCTTCCATATACCTTGGTGAGTACAAAATAAATTCAGAAGATGTGAGGGGACAAGAGAATCTCAGGTAAGGAGAAATAAATCCTTTATACGAGCAAATTCATACACTGTTTTCCCTCGTGAGTCAATGGAGACAGATAAACTCAAAAAATTAAAACAAAATTATTCCAATGCACAACACCAGCTACATAAAAAGAGGGTGAGTCAAAAATAGCAGAGCAAGGGCAGTGGGAATCAGAGCTGGGACAGCCTATTCCAGGAGGCAGAAAGTCATCCAACCCATCTTCTTAGTCTGGAATGCAAGAGGCATAAAGTGGATCTGACACTCAAAACTCCTACAGCAGTGACAGATTTAAAAGTATTCAGAAAAACATCAAATTCTCCCTTTATTTGTTGTCAAAAAACCCACCCCAAACCAAGCCACACACGTACTCCCTCCTAACACAGGAACACAACTAAAAATCTCATAGTATTAATTCCTAAGAGTTGCCAAAATCTGAAAAAGCTACTGGAGTTTCCATGTAAATCACAGACAGAGCCACCACTGCACAGCCCCATCTTCCAATGTGCCAAATGACATGGAAGACTCAAATTCCACACCCTGGAAGAGGAAATTACTTCTTTGGAGTTGAGCTTGGTTTAACAGTGGTCTTTACAACCATGCTGTGAAGTACGCACTCACCCAGTGTTCGGGGTCATTTTGCAATTCCATGTGCTGTGGGATGCTCCAGGGAACTCCAAGCACGGTAAGAGTAAAAACGACCAGGTGATTTTTTCCCCAGGAGTTGTGTGCAGCAGGGAAAAGTAGCAACAATGCATTTTTACCAAAAAAATCAAGTAACATCCAAGCAAATGGAAAAAGGAAGTTCCATTCCTCCTCTGATTATGATTCTTAAACAAACAGATGCAGATAAATGTTTAAAACAACCACTTTCCCTGGAATAGAACAGGCTACACCCACAAAATGCATGTACAGGCTTTGATGGTAAACACAAATGAAAATCAGAGTTGAAGCTTCAGTCCATCTTATCCCAAAGCCACTAGCACAATGGGAATGTCATAAGGAAAACAGAGCTACAAATGGCTTCACTGTGATTTCCACAGAACTGTAAGGCATAAAACTTTCTACAGTTAAATTTGATAAGTTTTTTAATGTGGTGAGTTCTAGAAAATCTGATCCCCCCAACTGATTACACTGTCAATAAAAATTCTCCTTTAGAAGACCACTTAATGAATGCTTCCTGTTGGACTTTTCATTTCATTTGGGCCTTAATTCTTCCCAAAGAATGGTTCAGTGGCATTAGGAAATCTTCAAGAATACATCCAAATGGGAATAAGCAATGATTTTCCACATAATATAGGAAAAATTAGGATTCCCCCAGTATCTGTCCCACCTCTCCTCAACTCCCATTTCAGAGGGAAATGAACTTTCAGCACACTCAAAAAGTAACTGGAATTCTGTAATAAACCCAAGATACTGAGGGCTACAATTAAGGACAGACAAGTCAAGAGCTCTGCTGCCAAAAGAAAAGGCTCCAATTCCCTCTATTCCCTCACCACATGCTCCCATCCCCTTGCTCAATTCTCTGCCACTTTATTAAATTAATTGGCTTGAAGAATAAGTTAAATTTAGGTTTCCAAAATAAATTCAGTCTTACATTGCACACTGTGCATTTTATAGCCAAAACATGCAGTTAAGACATTTTTTCCCTGATGAAAGGAAAATATAAGTTTATTGGAAACTTCTTCAGTGTATATGGAAAGGTTCGATTCTCTTGTTTGAGAGTTGATAAAATAAACAAAGCTTTGATTCACTAGTCCCAATTTGACCCAAATAATAGTTCCCAAATGTAAATTCCTTTTTAGGATTCCAATCCTAAGTAAATTGAACAGTCAATACAAGAAGGCAAAACTCCAAGTCAGGGAACTATATTTTAATTACTAGATTTAGAAGAGGATGAAAAAGTTAGGAGTATCTTAAAAAGGAGCTTATATTTATCTTCCCACTGGTTTTAAAGAAATTGCTCTTCACTAGAGATGATCTCCCTTATCCTGGAGATATAATTAAAAAACCCCAAAAAAACCAACAAAAAACACAGCATAATCTGAGAGTTAAAGCAACCGAATGTCTCCTGAACTGTTAAAAATCAGCACAAACCACAGCTTGGGGCTGGGCTGAAGCATCACTGCACCATGGAAGGACCCAGCCTTTGATTCCTCTTCTCTAGAAAGCTACAAACAGTGCCAAGTGTAATCAGAATTATTGGAATTGAGTTCTGCTTATTAGATCCTCAACCAGGAACCTTGGAAACAGCTGAGATTGAGCAGGAAGCATATGAAGCTCAGAGTTGACCCATGACCACCTTCCTCTCCTCAGCCCATGTGACAGCACTTTAACTACACTGGCTCAGTATCATGTCTTTTGTTTCCCAGATATTCGACAAGGTAATATCAAGCATCATTTAATGTCAAATCTCCTTCCCTGGTACAGCTATAACTCCATCCTTCAAAGCCTAGAAATTGTGAGCAAGGAGCTAAAATATTAACAACAGTTCATCTGTAAATCACTTAGAGATTTGAATACAGATTAATGAGCCAACACAGAAACAGTAAAAAATGTTTCCAAGTTCCCTAAGCATGCAATAATAAAATTATGAATCCACCTCCACACCACCCTAATTGTGCTCACCCCTCTGTGCTTTAACCCCTTGAACTTTTACAGAAGGTCAGCTTAGAAACAGACACATTTTTACACCACTAAAATGAGGAAGTTGACCCAAAATGCAACCCACTTCTACATCATGAAGGTTTTTAGTCAAGAGTACATGTTCAACTCTGATGAGGACTCAGAATAAAACTTCAAAATCAAACAGAACATTCTCAAATAGTTTAGGCACAATGCAAACAATCCCCCAAAACATCCATGTAAGAAAAATTCCCTTGTAGCACTTTAGTTCCCTTCAGTAAAACCCCAAAGTGAGTCACCACGGATGGATTTAGACGTGACCAACTCTGGCAGGAGTCGGCAGTAACTTCCACAAAGCAATATAAGCTTTCTGTGCATCCCTCCCAAGGACTAAGGTTTGACTTTTTTTTTTTTAAATTAAGCTTAGTGACTGGACTGGGAAACATGGAACTTGACTGTCAGCTGAATCCACTCTGCTGAATCCAATCAGGGTGACTGGATTCCACTTCTTATGTTCTAAACCCACCATAGCGACACTTTTTAATCCACTCTGGATTTACATGAATACATATTCAATTCTGAAAGATATTTTAGGATTCAGATGTTTCTATTTTTTACATTTAGTTGTCAAAATCTCTTATCTTTTGGAATATTTGGGAGGACAGGCTTACACTGAATCAACTCTGACTGACAAACACCCTCAGAGAAGCAGATCAAGAAATTTCTGAGAATTTCATTTTAGACAACATGTTAGAGTCTATCTGGCAAGTCTGCAAGCTAATCTTTCAATCAGTCATCAGATTTCCAGCTAACAAGACTATTTTCTCACGCAAATCATTCCTAAATGCTCAGTGGAAGTCTGAAGTAGTTGTGGTACTTAAGACAACAATCTTAGAGTACGAAATCACAAGTATCTCCTCATGAACATTCCCAGATAAACACAACCCTGAGCTGTGGCTCCACCAAAGTTAGGAATTTGAGTTTTGAACCCTGAGCAGACAAACAGGCACACAGGGTTTTACATCTCTGCCTAGTTTGACACAGCTGTATCACGTCTGCAGAGGAGGATATGAAACAGTTAAATTTATCAAAGGCAGCAAGATCAGCTGATCAAACAGGGCTTTCCACAATGACCCCTTCCTGTTTTCTGGTTAAAACTGTAAACGTGAACTCCAGCAACCAACAAGCCTCAATTTTACTTCTTCTTTCAAGCAGCAGAAAGCAAGGCAAAAAAGAACTTGCGTATATTCCTTATTCTTTACAGAAAAGCTCTAAAAAAGCTTAAACTTCTTTTTATGAGAGTGCTGTTACATTTGAAACTATTTAAACCTAAAAATTACAATGGCTGCATTCAAACTCTTTGCTGTTGAAGATTTTATTAGGGTTGACCTTTACATCCATCCACACTTCCAGAGTTTTTCCTTCTAGAGAATAAAAGGGAGAGGCTGAAGCCTAAGAGATCATTTAAAGTTTGTCCTGCTGTTACCTAATGCAATACCAGCTGTGCCCTCTCTTCTCACGTGTTTAGTTTTGCTTTCTTTTGGAAATGCTGTAATAATTAAAAGCCTAAACACTCTCCCACTTTCTCCTCAACTGACAATGATGCTCTCTTCCAAACAGTTGTAGAAAGGAAATAAATCCCTCAAAAAGCGAGTTCAGAAAAATGCTGCAGGACATGCTCACACACAAAGGCAGGATCACACTAAGCACTTGGTGTTTCAGTGGAACAATCTTTATAAAAACATTTGCTGACAATTCTATTCAAATGCTATCAAAGCTTTCAGATGGAAAACACAGGTAACCTGTGTCCCAGAATATGAGTGTTTAGTGGTGGGAATAAGTCACATATAAATGACAAGCAACAGGAAGTCAACTGAACAGAAGGACGAGTTAAGGAAAAATCAATTAGAAGCAGTTGGGTAACACTGCCAAACACCACGGCAGCCCAGTGACATTTAAGCCTAAACCAAGTGACAAGCCTAAAACCAGTGACATTTTAAGCCTAAACCAGGTGGGTGACTCAAAAGCAACATTCAGCAGCAGTTATTTGAAGTTTTCAAACCCCAATTTTCACAGAAGGTAGTTTGAGCACAGCTTTACCTCCAGGACTGGTCCAGCTCCCAGGATGGTTCTCTCTACACCGCTGGCATACCCTTTCTGGCTCAGAGCCGTGAGACAGTGAATTAAAAAGTTTGTGCTTTGGGTTTTCCCAGATCCACTTTCACCTGATATAACAATGCACTGATTCACATGTTTTTTAAGCATTGTGTGATAGGCCACATCGGCAATGGCAAAAATATGAGGCTCCAACTTCCCCAGTTGATGATTCTCGTACATCTTGACATATTTGGGATTGTAGATGGGCAGGAACTTGAAGGGGTTAATTGCAATCAGGATACTTCCTGCATAAGTGTAAATTCGGTGCTTTAAGAAGCGGCATTTGAGATTCTCCAGGAGTGTTGTCTCTGTCAGGTTGGGGAGATTGCACAAGTCATCAAAGTCCTCCTGGTGCCACGGAAGAAAGCCCCGTTCCACCAACCTCCGAGCATCCGTCTCCTTGGAGAGCAACTGCATCTGCACATACTTGATGGTCCCATCAGTGTTCCTCTCTTGCAAGAGAAAGTAGTAGCCATCCTTCTGTGGATGCTCGTCCTGAGCACGACGAGGCCAAAGCAAAACCCTGTGAACAGGAGAATCATTTATATCAAGTACCCATTCCTCTCCTCCAGATTCTTTCACCTCCACAAGCACATAATGTTTGGAGACATCCAAGTTTAAGATGCTGATCACGTCCTTGATGACATCTGATGATGTGCTGTCCTTGGTTGCTGTCACTTTGCAGCAGGGAGCACTTTCTGTTGAGAGTTGGGGGTAAATCTGAAGGTTATAGGCTGCCTTTGCCTGGCAAACTGCACTATCAGCATCTTTTAAACTCATTCTGTCCCCAAATGGGCTTCAGTCTTCCACCCCTGCTTAGTATGGAGTGCCCATTGTCTGAAAAAAGAAAAAGGAAAAATGAAAAAAATCAGGTGTTTAAAAGTGTGTACAAGAGGTATTAGGTATTTTCTGGAGGATGAGAATACAATTATTACATAATTAAATTATTAAAAAACAAATGCACTATCTGTGCACATCAGTGATATTATTCCAAGCAGCCTGTTTGACATATCCCATGGAATGGATAACTCTCACAATACTTATCCTCCTTTACTTTTCCTTTATTCCATGCCACCCCTTCTTCCCTGTTCTGGCAGCAAAAGCATTCATACAGCCAAAGCAAAATCAACCAGGATATACATCCAAATTAAAACTTCCTTGTTTGCCCAGGTTAGTTTTAACCCAGGCACTTTCCCTGTCCTGGTTCACTGTATGGCTACACGAACATTCATCCGCTCTCCCACATAAACTCTACCTTAAAGCTGCACAAGCAACGTGATGTAGCAAGAGGGTTTGTGGTCACTTCCTAATTCAGCAGTGACAGTTCAGAGCAGCCATGACCTATGGCAGAGGGATCAGTGCATGGGTGCAAGGAGGAAGATGGTTCTGACAGAGATCCACCCTTTTTTTTTTTTCCTCTTTTCCCCCAGATAAGCTCTTTTCATGGGAGGTACAAGACATCCCACTCATCTTGAAGGAATCAGAGCCCAGAGCTGAGCAGAGCTCAGCTCCCTCCGACACATCGTAGAGATTTCTTGGACACACATCACTTACACAGACTCATTTGTGAACCACATCCTTGCTAAAGAAAGGTCTGAACCTGCCTTTTATCTTCCATTTTAGGCAACAAAGTAAAACTAGTCTTATTGCAACTACTTTTCAGCAGTAAACAAGATCTGAAATAACCCACTTCATTCACAGGCCTTTATACCCCATCACATCAACTTCACCTTCAGTGGGTTTAGGAACCTCATCCATGAGTCTCTAAAAATCATTTGGTGTGATTGCTTTTTGCTCCTTTCAGCCTCAGTGCAGGCCAGACATCTAACTCCTATCAACTAACCGAACAACAGCCTTAGAATCAACTTCTTCCTCACTGTTAAGTTAGAAGTCTCCAGACTCAGTTACCGCCTCTGCCTTTTCCGATGATTTTTCTCTCACCTGAAATTCGGTGCCTCCAGATCACCAGGACTAAGTTTACTCGTATTGCTTTAGCTCAACACTTTATTTGCTCATCAAGGGGTACTAAAAGGAGGGGGATAATAAAGTACCCCTTTGTTTTAAGTCTGTAAAGCTTCATATCCAGAATAGCAGTTCAATTTTTGTTTCAAGAACAAAGTGTTATAATTATACACTTACATGCCAAATACATTAAAGACAAAAAATAAAAAGAAAGAGGAAAGAGGCAGAGAAATGCCAAAGAAGTTACTTTTTGCCACTAAACAACTGCATGGGAACTTGTACAAGGCCACAGAGACTAATCATTTCAAATTAAAACCAGCAGAGCTGGAGGTATTTAAGCTGCCACTTTCCACTGCAAGTAACGAATCACTTCACAGAACATATGACATAGTTGTGCCTCATGAACAGCCTCTGAGAAGGGAGTTGTGTTTAAGGGAACACAGAGCTCACAGAAGACACTATTAGATAAGCTGGATCATTTTTAGTGGCTACTCATCAAAAGGAAGGCTGAGCAAGCCACAGAAGGCAAGGCAAACCACAACACATCTCTGACCAAATGGTGTGATCCACCCAAGAATGTTTTTTCCACATTAAATTTCATTCTTTTTTCATTAAGGAGGGCTGATTGCAAGTGCTGGTCATACAGAAGGCTGGAGCAGTGAGCTCCAAGTCCCTTCCTCATTTCCTGTAATTATCACTGACCAGCAAATAAGTCTGAAGTATCTGTGAAGTGCAAGTGTTAAGCTTTCTTAATCTATAAAAGCTCAGACCTTGACATACAGTAGAATCTACAGCAAACTGCTGCTCCTGGGGAAGATCAATCTGGAGCTCAGATAGAAAAGTAGAACAACAGCGAACATTTTCCTCTCGAGTCACTCAGTTCAAGGGGGACAGCCTTTTGCAGACTTCCTTTTTCCACCCCCCAGCAATTAGTTTCAGACATACAGTCTGGTAAGATAGAGGAAGTGCCCTCAGTAACCATTATGGCCAAAACAGCTCCCTAAAAAACGTGGCAGCAGCTTCTTGCCACCACAGAAGAGCTGGACCTTGGTGCTGACCCGTGACTTTACTAACACACATTTCCTAACCTTGCCTCATGTCAGCCACCAGAATGTGGTACATTGCTCAAGATCCCAGCTCATACTTTGGAAAGAGGAAACCAGAATGCAGATGCCACTGCTCTGCAAGTGACAAACTCAGGGCCCTTACAGCCAGCAGCAATGTGACAGCTGGGAGGGTCTGCCCAGGTGTGTACAACTGGAAAATTCAATTCTTCTGTCTGAGAATGTCCAATCATTACAGAGGTTTGAGGAAAACCTGCTGGTCTGCAGCTACTTGTGATTTCCTTAGTGAGAATATCAAATTTATTTGATGACAATACTGCTCTAAAAGAGACAGACCTCGGGCTTCACACTAAACAATATTTCAAGCCACAAACTAGAGTATAAAAGCAGAAGAGCATTCAGTCAATAGATTTTAAGTTGATTACCTAATGAGTTCCAGTATTCAGCTAAGGACACGGTATCTTCAAGTAACTGGAGGATTAGTTCCTAGTGAAGTTACATTCCTGGCATCAAAGTAAACATTTTCATGATGGTTCTAAAAGAAAGAAAAGAGTTACTGATAAAGAGATATTGAGAAGGCAGCAAGTAATCAAGAAGTTAAATCAATTATATAGGTCAGTCGTACAGGAGCAAGGAAATAAATGCTAAACAAATTTCAACTCAGTTTACAGATACATAACAACAAATTTATCCAAGAAACAATCCATATGAGAGGGATAGAAGTTATCCTGAAATAGGCCTGAAAACCATAGCAAGCAATCATTCAAACAGTGTTCTAATGTAACACCACAAGCATGACAGGGAATATGATTCCCAGATAACCATAAATTAATATTTTGTTAGGCAGCCATCCTACCCTTTTACTCAGAAGATATGTGACCAATACAGCATCTAGGATAAATCCAAAATTCAATTAAAAGCTGAGATAAGAGCAGAAACAACAACAGAAAAACCTGTTAGAAAATGCCCCCCTTAGAGCCAAATACTCTCCAAGCCTTGTCTGTAAGGAGCGCACAGAGGAGTCTGTTATCAGTCAGTCGCTGCATGGGACCTGGTGTTTGGTACAAGCATCAGTCTGGAGGACAAAGCCACAACATGGCTGGAATTTGAAGCCAAACAAGCTCAGGCAAACATAAGACATAAACGTCACCAGAAGGTTAAACTGCGCTGCAAAAACGCAACTGACCACAAGGTCTAGTTGCCAAAGCTCATTTTGGAAAAATCAGCCAGTCCTCAGTTACAAATGGGCCTCACAATTAGAAAAGTTAATTAGGTACCATCCTCTCATTTATGTCCAGAATGGTCTGAAGATATGATTGCAAAGATTCCTTCTAATTTTATGGGGAGAAATTTTAAGCAATTGAAATAATTATTCAATGTGATTGGCTCATCAAGGAAGCACAAGCACAGGCAGAGAATACTGGGAGGAAAGTAGAAATACAAGAGAGAAGGTAATACTGAAACCATGCAAACCCTGCAGCCCAACCACCTCTGCTTGGTTCTGTCTGTAGATGGAAATTCTGCAGTTACCTCAACTTCTTTCAATACTCTTTCTTACAAGAAGCCCCTTTCCAACGCATGGAGGATAAAAATCTGTGGCTTTACTTTTTGCTCAGACAATTTTAATAGAAAAACCAAAAATTCCAATTCTATATGATAATTTTGATGGTATTTTATAAGGGTTTTCAAGACTCCAATTAATTTTTTAATAAGCCAACACTGTTCACTTCATAACATAGCAGAACTCTAGCAGAGAATTTCACCCCTATCAGCGCAGGGGATCTGTTTAGTTTAAATAAGGCCATATTTTGAAGACACATATTTAGTCAGTGAATCACAGCGAAGCTAAAAAGGGAAAGCTACCATTACAGCAAAATTGTTGAGGATGAACTTTATAATATTCCAGTTCTTCCCATTTTCAGTGCTGCATTCCTCAAATGGAAAGGTTCAAGTTTCTCCCATTGTTCACCACGTAATTTTCAACACAGAAGGAGAAATGGATCACAGGTACTTAACCTCTGATATTCTTAAACACCAGAATTGCCAGTGACCATCCCCAAAAGAGGCTGCTCTGTCTGATCAAATTGAAAACATTTCAATTTCAAAAATATCCATTTATTACCCATCCTTGATTTCCAAAGCAAGGAATTTCCAGCAAAACAGCCTGCAGAGACACCTTAAAATTTCCACAAATAACTATGCAGTGCAGGTAAAGCAAAGACTCTTGTCTACCTCATGTCATAGGGACAGAAGGTGCTGTTAGTTAAGCAGAATTAATTTTAATTTTTCCCAATATTCCAGGCATTTGTAGATTACCTGAATATTGCTTAGTAAAAACACTTCAAGGCTTTCCTTGGTTACAAAAAATTCCAGTGGACTAAATTTTACACCCTTGGGGTTTTTTTAACTAAAAGCCCTTGGCTTTTTCTACTCCAAAGGGAGGAGTTCTGAATGGAACATGCAAAATTACAACACATTTGTAACTACTCTTTGTAATCAACCCTAGCAGGGAACTTTGGGCTGCAATGTATAACACAGGAAAAAGGCAAAGAAATCACCTTTGGTACAGGCAGTTCCTCCTCAGTTACCTGCTCCCTGCAGAGAGATCCCAACTCACACCCTCAAACCCCCCCAGGTACAGAGACCTTCCTCCGAGTGACTCAATGCACAACCTCACCTGAAGACAAGGATGCCTTATCAGGCTTTACAGTGACATTAAAGGTCTATTTATGACATGTTACTACCTTATAAAAAGTGCAATGTCAGAGTTACAGATGTACACGTAAGTATGATTCAGAGGGAATGAAAACATGGGCCTGTTGAGGAAACAGGAATGAAGGCAAAACAACTTTACTTAGAGGTAAAGAACATAAACCAAAAGAATCTTGGAGACTATTCTACCACCTTTTGTAGCTTTCTTAATTTTATCCTTAACAGCATTACAGCTGTCAACAAAGGAAGTCAAAATTTCACTGTTCTAATGCTGCATTTACACCAATGAGAAACTTTTTAAAGAAACTTTGGGTTGAACTTTCATGTGAACAGAACATATACATGTCAAAAATACCTTTAAAAACACTTTTATTGTAAAATATCCTTGGTCTTTAAAGGAAGAGATTTTTTAGAGTCTGCATTGAGTTTCATTTGGTAATCAGAGACATACAATACAATAAAGCCTCAATAAAAGGAACTCCACAAGCCACGCTTAAGTCACTTGATACACCAAGAAAACACAATATACTAGAGACAAAACCTCTGAATTTTCATTTTCTGAAATAAAGACATTTCTAGTCCTTTCTATTAAAAATATAAATTCTTATCAGCATCTCAGGCTTTATTTCTCCTTGGTATTTGCATAAACAGGCCTTGTTTCTTAGAAATGTGATAAACTCCTTCAGCCTTCAAACTTGCAAAAAAAAAAAAAAAGTTCTGAACCACAACCTTTTCGTTGAATCAGAATTTTTCACTCCTTCCCTTGGCTGTTGGGACAGCCAATACTGTTGCATTTCTTAGGAATTTTCCTTTTTTAATGCCTAGGATATGCAAATGCTGCCTTTTGACCTTCTAGCTGGCAAAGGTCATACTCAACTATGTGCATGTGAGTCAGACAGTTATTCAGACATGGAATTATTCAAGAAGTCTAATGTTTGAATCACTAGTGGTCAGAAAACTCTGCCTGTACAAAGCATTGCTCTCTAGGTGAAGCCCATTTAAATTTTTCATCAGCTGCATTTACTCTTCCTCAATTATTCAGTCCTGTAAGTGTTTTCCACCAAAAACCCAGACCTGGGAGCCTTCCCGCCGTGTTTGTGCAAACAGCTGCTCTGTCACTGCAGAAGCCGCAACATCCAACTTCTGGAAAAGCTTTTTGTTGAGACAAACATTCAAGTAGGGTTAAAAAAAAACCCCAAACCCCAACCAACTAAAGCTGTATAGTTCTACAAACACAGTTCCTTTACATTACTGCAGTAAATCCTGAGTCTTACGCTAATAAGACTAAAGACAGAGGAAGTGGCCTTAGATGCATCATCCTGAAAACCAAGATATCAGACTTTAAATGTAGAGGCAGAGAACCTCATCATAGTTCAAAGACAAAATAATCAAGATGAATTCTTTTCTAAAAAAAGCCAAAATTCATCTTGACAATAATATGAATATGCGTTAAAAGTTCCCCAAACTGCTTCCCCTACATTAAATGGATTTGCTCCTGACAAGATTCTGAGTGAGACACTGAGGGCTTACTAAAACCTGATGGATGTGATACCAGCATCCCAAACCAGAATGCAGAGTTACCTCACACTGTTACTTTAGGTCAAGTTCTTCAGCCATGGATTCCAGCTACCAGGCCTGAAATCAAAGTTTCTAATTACCCATGACAAACTCCTATTTGCAAACAGCTTGGCAGACACTCCGATACCAATCCACCTCTAGGAGTAACGTGGGAGGATGCTGATGACATCTCTGAAAGGCTAACTGCATCTGCCGGAAGCCTGAGATCATCTCCAGCCCTTTTGCTCCACTGCCACCCATTTCCACGAAGTGAAATCAAAGAATACTGAGCTCATTTGCATCCAAAGGGCCTCTCACTTTTCACAAACGGGACTTGCAAATAAAGTTGGGTAAAAATTTTGCCAAAATATTTAAGGAGTAGTAGAAAACAAGGTTAAAAATGACACTGGGAAGTCATCTTACATTAGGATCACACACACCTATGTCAACTGTATGGTCAGGAGAGTTATGAGTCAGGGTAGTAGTGTGCTACTTTTAATCTAGAAACATGTAACAAAGGATGTTCTCAGCTTGCGAAAGCTTTACTTTCCAGAGATTGCAAAACCAAGCTTACCAAAAAGCCCGAGCACTACCGACATACACACAGTTAGAGGCATGAATCAATTGGGCAACGATGGTCACCACGATAAAGCACAACCCCAGCACGGCGCTGTCAAAACAGCTGCCCGAAACCAACACAAACAAAACAAAAGAGCTCTGAGAGTTTTAACGAAACATTTGAAAGATGCTGAGATATTACAGGCTGTTCATACTGAGAGTCAGAGGTGGAAAAGCAGAAGGTTGTGTGGTTGAAAGATGGGAGGAACAGGAGGTGGAAGTTAACACCGTGCCCGGCTCAGCGGCCGGGTCTGCCCCGGAGGCGGGAGGCACAACCTGGCATCAGGAACATCCCTTCCCCGGAGCACCTCCAGCTCCTCGGGCACGGCAGACGCAGAGCGGGTCCAGCAGCACCGCATGCGCCCCCGCACGGTGCAGCCCCGCACCCGGGCACGGCACCAGCCCCGACGGGATCCGCTCCGGGGGCGTCCCGGGGAATCACTCCGGCCCCGAGCTCCGGAAGGCTGCGCAGGAGACCTGCGGCTCTCCCCGGTTAGGCACCGACCCCCAGATATCCCACGAGAACAGACCCCCAGACACCCCCTCGGAACTGCCCCAAGGCACCGATCCCCGCATAGCTTCTCAGAACGGACCCTCGGACACCCCGTCGGAACCCACCCCCGCACAGCCCCTCAGAACCAACCCACAGCTCCACCCGCCTGGCACCGACCTGCAGGTACCTTCTCGGAACTGTCCCACGGCACCGACCCTCGCACAGCACCTTACAACCCCAGACACACCACCAGAACCCACCCCCGGAATCCCCTCAGAACCCAGTCCCAGTCGGAACTGCCCCAAGGCACCGACCCCCGCACACCCCCCGGCCGCTCCATTAGCGTGATGCCCTGCCACCCCACCGCAGCGCTGAGTCGCCCGTAGTGAAGAAAGATAGCAGAAACGAGACCGGGAGGACGGAGAGGAGGCTCCGCTGAGCCTTACCTGCGCCGCTGTCGAAGCGCGGACCCCCGCCGCAGCCCCAGGCCCCGCGGCTGCGCCACTTCCGGGTGGGGGGCGCGCCCATTCAGAGCGTTGCGCGAATCGCGCCACGCGCCCGGCCTCGCTTAAGGCCTGGGGGTGGGGGTGGAATGTGTTCATGGGGCCACGGGTTCGACACCCGACCAGGGTTATTCCACTGCCCGAGGCTCCTGGCACAGCTGGGCAGCGGGAGCCAGGTGCTGTCTGTGTGTCTGTCTCGCCATCTGTCTGTCAGCGGCAGTGGGCGGATTCCTGTCAAAACTCAGGAACCTGGGCTGGGAGCGTCGCCGCCCGGCGCTGTGAGAGCTCCCACTGGGGGAGTGGCTGAACTGCTCGATGTGTGACAGCGCTGGGGCAGCGCAGAAGCTCCCGAGCATAGTGTGCTTGGGTTCACTGAATCACAGACTGTTTAGGGTTGGAAGGGACCTCTGCAGATCGCCCGGTCCAACCCCCCCCTGCCCAGGCAGGGTCACCTGGAGCAGGTGACACAGGAGCGCATCCAGGTGGGTTTGGAATGTCTCCAGAGAGGGAGACTCCACGCCTTCCCTGGGCAGCTGTTCCAGCGCTCTGCCATCTCTATGGAAAGAAGTTCTTCCTCACGTTGAGTTGGAACTTCTTGTGGTTTATTTTATGGCCGTTGCTCCTCATCCAGTCGCTGGGCACCACTGAACAAAGTCTGGCACCATCATCTTGCCATCCACCGAGGAGATATTTATATGAATTAATGAGATCCCCTCTCAGTCTTCTGCTCTCTAAACTAACCAGGCCCAGCTCCCGCAGTCTCTCCTCATCAGAGAGATGCTCCAGACCCTTCATCCCCTCTATGTGGCCTCTGCTGGACCCTCTCGAGCAGCTCCTTGTCTTTCTTGTCCTGAGGAGCCTAGAACTGGGTTCCACCAGCTGACGTTGCAGAGAGCGGCCACCAAAGGCCTGAGGGAAAAAAGGCTTTCGGGCCCAGCCAGGAACTGCCAGACCCTCATTTGACCCGGAGGGCAGCAGCCGCCGGGTGCGACCCCTCTGGCTGCGGTGGCTGGTTTCAGCCCTCCGCGCCGCCAGGGGGCGCTCTGCCGCCACCGCCCAGGGCGGTGCTGCGCGGGCGCGTTGGTTCAAACGCGATGGCGGCTGAGGCAGCTCAGGGCTGAGGGGGAGGGACGTCCGCCCGGCCCCTTCGCTCTCCCGCTACTGCCTTGGCAGGATGTCTGCGCACAGGAGAAACCCCGGCACCGCGGCGGCGGGCGGACAAGCGCCTGTAGCTAAGCGGAAAGGTAGGCGTGTGAGGTGAGGGGGGATCCGAGCTGGCTGAGGGCGGGAGCCCAGTACGGCTGAGGGGGGAACCTCGGCCCGACTGAGGGGGTTGATCCAAGCTGGCTGAGGAGGGGGATTCGAGCCATTCGAGGGGGTTGATCCAACCCCCTTGAGGGCGAGGGATCCGAGCCGGCTGAGGGGAGAGCCCTGTACGGCTGAGGGGGGAGATCCGAGCCTGCTGAGGGGTGAGGAGCATCCCACCTGTCGGGCCCAGCTGAGCTGTCTTTGCCCCTTTTCCAGGAGGAAGAACGGTGCAGTCTCGTTACCTGCAGTACGACAAGAAGAACACCGAGAAGGTACCTGGACTACCGCTCAGCAAAGGGTAGAAATGGTGTGAGGGGCGGCTCGGACACAGGGCAGCGAGACCTGGACAAAAAACCCGGCTCTGCTGGGGTTGTGAGGGAGCTCTGTGTGTTACCAGGTGGGAGCTTGGGGCTGCACTCAAGTGACTTGCAAGGTGCCCTGGGATTGAGGCTGTTTGTTGTCAGCATTCGAGTTGAAGATAAGGTACATTGCTGATTAAGGTACATTGCTGATTATGTTCTGTCTATTGCTGATTATGTCTGTGTGTTCATTTGCAGGGTGCTTCAGCAAGTTCCTCTTCATTGTGTGCTGCCCCACCATCTTCTGCAGCTAAACCAAAATCAGTTCTTTCTCAGAAACATGAAGCTTCTGTTGGTAGGTTTTACCGGTATTTCAAAGCTATTCTTTCTTTTTTCCAACCTCTGAAACTCTTAACAGCTCTAAGATGGCGATATTTTTTATTACTTGCATTTCTACCAGTCATTATTTGTATAAAAATGGGAACTGAGAAGCTTGATGTGGGATTAAGAGATGTGAACTCAGGTACTGGATCTAGAATTGAATGCTTGGGCTGCCTAAAAACATCTTTCCTGCCTTATGCAGAAGGTTTTGAACTGTTCTTCTCCTATGCCCTCACCTGTACTCTGCCTTTTTTTTTATTTAATCTTTTTATTAAACCCAATGTAAATGCCTGAAAAATCCCTGTCTGCAAAACAGTCCATTTTTATTTCTTTTGTAAGAATTGCAAAATAATTCTCTGGTAAGGCCTTGACTTGAAAATCATGAGGAAATCGGGACATCTGAGTTGAGAAAGGTTGCTCCTGTTCAACATTCTCCAGCCAATCTTTCTCACCACGTGTTAATTCCTTGGTTATTCCCAACCATTCTTGTCTGTCATTGCCCACAGTCCTTGGTTGGCTCCAAGGTGTTTGGGACATACACATTAGTGTATTCTCTTCTGGGAATTGAGAGCTTGGAGGGTCTTACTTTGGGCTTTAGTCATAGCAGTTTTTCATCCTGGCTGCAATTCCATTGGTAACTTTCTTTGAAGGTTCAAGAAAAATAAGTTTCCATGGCTTTTAAAAAGCAGGTGTTCATTAGAGAGCACTGGTTCCTGAGAACAGTGTTTCTGATCAGCTCAAGAGGAGCTTAGTCCAGTTTGTCAAGGCTGAGCCTTAAGCAGCATTTCTCAGATCATGCTGTGGCCTGAGATGAGGGGGATTGTGACTAAAATCAGCTTCTCTGTGCCTCTACAACGCGTAGCTGTGAATTTGTGCAGAACGTGTTCACATTCTTTTAGTGTGATAACAGCTTCTTTTCACAGGTGTTGGCCGTAGCTTAAGTCAGAGTATCTTTGAGAATGGTGACTTGCAGTCCACCTTATTAGATGAAGAAAAAATTAAAAGACCGGACCTTGATCTCTCAGCTATTAATGGTACATTTCCATTCATACTTGATTTCTGGTTTTATTATTTTTTAATGTATGTGCTGAAACATGGTGATAAGAAATCACTGTATTTTTGTATACTCACAAAAGGATTTTGTTAAATGAAGTGAATGTTGTTTCTGGTGTCCTTAAGCAGAGCTACTAAGACTTTTAGGGTTTAAATTAACCTCTCAATTTGTAATATCTTTTGGGTGCCCTGTTGGTTTTGTTGAAGATAAAAAATTAAAGTACTCTCAAGTAACAGGTGGGTGTTGGACTGTCAGCTCTTCTGAAAAGTAGATCCCATCTGTCTGTAACTGTCACTTAAAGCTAAATACTCACATGATCCACATCTGCTCATGAGTATATCAGAACCAGACATAGAGCACAAGTCTTCTTTACCGGTGCACATAATAATTTTGAAATTATCTCTGCCTTTAAAGAACCTGATGATATGTTGATCCACCCTGTAGACCTTGGTAGAAGAGAGCACTGACTTTTTTGTTGTGATACAGATAAAACTGTCCACAAGAAGAGTGATTGTTCAGAATCAGCTGAAGAAGGAGATGCATGGACACAGACAGAGAAAACTGGAGCAGTGAGTCTCACTGCTTTCATTTGTAAGGATATTTATTTCGAAATGTGCAAAATGAAGATTTTCTTTCTCTTTAATCTGGATTACAACTGAGGTCCTGGGATGATCTAAACCCTCCTGACAGAAGTCAGTTCTACTGGTGGCAATGTGTGGTTTGTTTATCAGATCTCTGAACACTGACCAGAACTTTGCTTCTCTCTGGTAAAGAATCTGTTCCAGTTATAGCATCTCCTCAGGTGGATTCTTTTTGCATTCCTATCCTGTTTAGTTCTATCACCTTATCTTTGAGATTTATCTGCTTAAAGAACTAACATTGATTCAACCTAGTTTGAAGTGCCTTATTTAGGGATCTCATTCAGTGTAGGACTAAAACTTCAAATTCTCTGCCAGTATTATGAAAACGTGCTGAAAATATTATAAAATGTTGTGGAACAATAAGGTATATTTAATGAACATGAGTTGTTTAAAACCCCAAACTTTTCTGATCAAACTTACTGTTGTTGGTGATGATTCCAGGCACAAATCGGACTATTGGTAATTTATTTGACCACTGAAAAAATTATTGCTTAAATACCAAACTTGATGCAGTATATTCTTTTCTTTTTTGAAGGAAACTGATTCCAGTGATTCAATGACAGAGCTGGAATCTGAGACACTACTTTTAACTTACTTAAGAATAGAGGTGAGAGTCAGTCAAATATTTGGTGTTTCAGGTAGAACCTGATATTGAGGAATTGTTTAATTTCTTAAATGCTTCCTGATCCATAAAAGTTAGATTTTTGTGACTGTATGTGATTATGGTTGTAAAAGTGTGTTATTTGCTTTGAAAACTCTTAGAATGAGTTTAGTGCCAGTTTACTATCTGGTGCTGGTTGTTAGGAATTGGGGGGATGCAGAAGTTTTGGGAAAACTGTGTGAGTCTGACTGGAGTTCAAGGTTATAGCAGTGACTTTTTTCCCTCAGTACTGTATGTGTGTATTTTCCTTTACAAAAAGCAGTAGGGGAAAGAGGGTTGAGGGGGGCTTTAATTCTGATGTTCTGTGCTTATTACGTGATGTCTCCTATTCATTAGTTACAGCTCTTTGACCTGGTTTACATCTGTTTACTCAGAATATGTTAATTGCTTAGGTGTAGCATTAACTGTGCATATTTTTGGGATGTAATAGACAGGAAAAAATCTTGCCAAGCTGGAGGAAAAAGCAGAAAAAAACTTGATGATGTTGTCTGAAGAAAAGCAGAGACAACAGGAGAAGCTCTTGGAGTTGAAACGTGAAATTCTGCTTAAAGAGAGACAGCGGAAGCTCAGTGAAGCATTAGACAAACAGGTAGGTTTTAGTACAATTTATGCTTCTCTTACATTTAAACAAACTCGTATATGAAGTAGCCCTTTATTCAGAGAATATTTCTCTGCTGGAGCTGAGATGCGAACCCTTAATGAGAAGTGAATATCTTGTGTTCTTTCTTTGTCTGGTTTGTCTGTGTTACCCAGCTCTAATTTGGCTGTAAGAAGACAGGTTTCTTATGAATAATTAATGTTCAAAACTGTATCTCTCTTTGCTTTTTAACAAATATGCACTGCAAAAATTAAACAAGGCTTTTGGAGAACACTCTTGTTAAGTACAGTTAAAGTAATCGAAGCATCTGCTATAAAACCTTTTGCCTGCTGTGTTGCCGATACCTCTGAGCTACAGGACCAAAGAAACTGGTATTGACCTGGGCATTTTGAGGTGGTAGAGGAAAACATATTAAACAGCATGATGGGATTATTGTACCACAAACTTCTTGAATTCCTCTGTCAGTGAGCATTTCAGAGTGATATTTGGTTGGAGGTTTTTTAATAAATTATTTTTCTGTATTGAGCCATGTTTTTAATTACAAAGTAGCTGCTTTTGGAGAAGTCTTGGTTCATTGTGTGTATGTTTCAGATTGAAGTGCTGTCTCCCCTCGTTCCTGTCTGTGAACAGTTTCAAAAGCAATATAAAAGCTTTGCAGCTTCCCTGGATGCCACTAGGCATGAATTACCCATAAAGAACATTCACATAGAAGGAGATAAGCAAGCGTATCTTGGTATGAAAACTTGATTTACCAAATTTACTGTCAGAAATAGTGTTTTTATGCTAAAAAAACTTCTTATATTGTTATTGCTACATGTGTCAATGGCTACTGGAGGAATTTTGAGTGCTCTTAGAGCTTATGTGAACACTGGGCTGCAGCATTAGTCACACATTGTGCTGTGTGTAATTCTTATCTCTGTTTAACTACTTCACTGCACTTGAACAGGTTTTTTATCTTGCAGCAGGGAAGAGATTAATTTTCTAAGCTGAGTCAGTCTTCATATACACCTTCTTTAGCAAATTTCTGTATATTTTAACTGTATTCATGGCATTACTCCTCATTTCTTGTCCCTACTGCGTAAATAAGGAATATGTAGGAATAAATAAGTAAGTAAGGAAAATGTTAATGAGGAAAATGTAGGAATACTGTGATCTCTTCCTTTTTCTGTGTTTGAGGGATACGCTCACCTGGGTAGACTTGCTCATGTTTCTTGTAGAACTGGAGCTTAAATATTATTGTGTTGTGTTGAATCAGAATGTTCAATAAATCAGTACATGTGTTTTGTATTGAAGTCTGGACAAAAAGTTACATTTTTAAACTACTGGTCTGCAAGAAACAATTTACAATAATCTTGCACTTAGAAACAAATGGAAACATTTATTAAAGAACTTAGAATTCTTGTAAGAAGACTTGAAATAAATAGGTTCATGTTCCTTTTTGGTTTATGAACGCTGAAGGAAATGACTGGATAAATTTCTTGGGGGGCTACATGCCAAGAGCAATACATGTAACTGGCCAGGGAATTTTGGATGTTTAAAACTTGTTTTTTCTCTTGCATTTGTCTTATAAAAATCTTTTGCATACTCTAAAATTGCTAATCAAGCTCTCATTCAACAGCCCGTTGCTAGTGCTTGTCACAATAATGAAAAATAATTTGGCTTTCACAGTTTCACAGTGTGTTTGTGAAAGCTGAACAAACAGTAGTTTTTCATTATCTAGTTCACTTGCCTCTGGGTTACTCCAGCTGCTGATATCCTGTATTAACTGGTGGCACTGCATTTTTAATAATACCTTTAACATCTCACTTGTAGATGAACTGGGAAAGCAATTAAAGATCACACGGGAGCTTCTGACAGAAATTATGCCAAGCCACTCAGAAGACTGTGCAAAAGCACTTACTGCACTGAAAGAGCTTAAAGAAGTGTCTCAGAAACTGGATAAAGAGCTTCAAAGGTAATTACAAAAGTTGGGTGGAAGACTTGTTGACTAAGTATTCCAAGGAAAATCTATCAACCTTGCCAGAATATATCCAGAACATAGAATGGAGGAGGATTAACTGAGGGTTTGGTAGCACTAAGTTTAATTCTCTTTATAGCAGCCCATCTGCATTTCTGTCCCTGCCCTACCTACAGTCAAAGTAGGATGGTTGGCTTTGTTTTTGTTTGTGCGTACCAAGTGAACTACTTTAGTGTGCTATTCTCTGCCGCTTTAGGTGAGAATTTCAGTGAGCAAGAACAGACCTGGTAAGTGCAAATATGTAGGAGTGGAGAACTCTGGGAGACAGAGAAGTGAACTGGAGACAATGTCTTAAATAACAACCCTGCAAATGTATCATCCTTTAGGAGCATAGAATAGGTTTTTTTTTTCCTCAAGTGTTGTATCAACAAATACAAAGTACCACTGGGAAAGTGAAGAAGAGCTAAAGCATGACATATTCAAGAATATTTCATTCATTGCCCCGGAAGAGATTACAACTCAAATCATTGAAGCTACTCATCTCCCCCACCTGCCAACTGCCCCTGTATTCTCCAGATTCTTGTCTTAGGGAAGAAAATTCACATTTTACTTTTTTTTTTATTCTGGTGGGGCCATAGTAGGAGAAAGACACCAATGTCCAGGTGTGTAGTCTTTGGGCTAAAGCAGAAGTCACTGTCCTTTGGAGTCACTGATTCAGCTTCATGTGTTCCAGGAGCTCCAGAGAAGTGCAGAACCTGTCATTTGAAGTCAGTAAAGAAGTTTCTCTGCATAACCAAAGTGCATGTGAAGAGAAGCACGGGCTAGATGTTATGAAATGCTGGTATTTCAACTAAGTTTCTGTATAGTTTTACTGCTGGGTAGGTACTAACTCAATGCCATTGGACATGCTATCCTTTTGCTTCTTGTATGAACATACAACTTGCCCAGTTTTTCAGTTATATGAGGATGTGAAACCAACAGCACTGATACAGAAAATGGACTGTTGTTCTGCCTGCTGTCCCATCAGGACACATCACAACTCTCTTTTAACATGGATTTCTGTGACAGCTGTTTCATCACTTTCTGCCTTGACGATACTGAAAAGTAAATAATAAGAAATAATAAGTAAATAATATTCCTGGTGTTGCCTAAAAGACTGCGGAGAAAAAGACTCCAGGCCAATTTATTGTATAAGATAAGATAAAGAGAGCAGGTCCTTTAACCTCAGGCCTAAGGCCCAGGGAATACGTACCTCTCACGCCCCCTCAGGCAGTCGTTCTATGATTTTATAATAAGGTCCATCCAATCCCGGTTCTGTCCAGCCCTGGTTCTGCCCCATTCTGCCCCTGACACACCTGTTTGGGAATTGGGTCTGGGAGTGTTTGGGACCCCTTCTTCCTCATCTTCATCTTCTTCAAAGCACATAGAGTCCTTGGAGTTCCTCCAGGGTTCTGGGCTTGAAGGTCTCTGTGTCTATGTGATATCTTCTGGTCCAGGCCTTAGGGTGTTTTTCTACAATTCTACCTTGAAAAGAAGACTAAACATGCTAATGAAATTTTAGAGTGATTGATATGAAATGGGATAATAGGGTTGGGTATGTGTAAACATTATGCTACAGGATAAGGGATATCATCATGTTCAGTCTTTGCGAACGAAGATTTGGGAAAGGTCTTTACCTTTTGAGCCTGCGCAGTGGATTTTTTAGGTGAGACACAGTGTGCGCTGAACTGAGCCCACCCTTTAATCCTAAGGTTCATCTACCGGGGCCAAGTGAACTTGGACAGTGTCAACGAGGTCCTCAGGACGTAGGTTTGTTTAGAGTGACCTTCTCTTAGATGGATGGCCTTACAGGGCTGATGAGCTCCATTTGCCCAGGGAAGTCCCCTGACCGGGAATTGAACCCGGGCTGCGGCGGTGAGAGCGCCGCATCCTAACCACCAGACCACCAGGGGGCCCCCGTAGGGATATAATACAGCTACATTAAAATCTACGTTCACTACACATCTACTTCTAAAATCTATAAAAGTTTAAAAATCAGAAAAAAAAAACTCTGAGGCATCAGTCCCCCCTTTAGAGATGGATAAAACTCAATCTTGTTTAATCACTACCTCTTATACCTATCATTATACCAGAGAGATGGCCAACATCTACAACATCGGTTCATGCAATGAGCTATTATACAAACACTAATTATGCATATCACTAATATAAACAGTTGTTTTATCCAGGTCCAATTCGGTATCCATGAAGTAAGTTTGTGGAGAATGTCTCCAAAACCCAGTGAGACATCCTCAGGAATTGCCCAATGTAGAATTTAAACTTGTTGCCAAATTTCAGCTGAATCCATAGTGCAAATCCAGCACTCACTTCCATGAAGGATATTGGATCCATTTTTGCTAAAGCCACATGTGAATTTTGGTTCTAAACCTGAGTCATAGTTACCAACTGTACAGATAACATATACAGAAGAAACAGGCTAGGCCACATGCTCTTCATCGGTGTCAGGCTCTGATTTGCTAGTAGTTCCAGGAACTGAAGCTTTCTTAACTCTGGAGTAATGAAACCAGGGTCCTTTGCCAGCAACTTGGACTGCAGCCAGGGAAGTCAGCAGGACTCGGAATGGTCCTCTCCACTTGGCTTACAGTGGGTCACTGTCCCAGCATTTAACGTAGACCCAGTCTCCAGGCTGGAATTGATGGGCAGGGGTGTCCAATCCTATGGGTCTGGATAACCTAATGAATCTCTGCACTTTCTGTGAAGTAGCACCTAGAACCATTAAATACTTTTGTAGATCAATTTTCCCCCTCGTGTGAGTGTCCCCTGGAATATGTGGAGCTTGGTGTGGTCTCCCATATAATATTTCATTAGGACTTATGTTATTTCTCTGCTGTGGTTGTATGCGAATTCTCAACAGAGCTAGAAGTAAAGCCTGAACCCATGACATGGATGTTTCCTGACAAATTTTACCAATTTGCATTTTAAGAGTACCATTCATACGTTCTACTTCGCCGCTTGCCTGAGGTCTGTAGGGAGTATGCAGGTCCCAGGCAATTCCCAGGACGCGACAAACCTCCTTCACTACTGTTGCAATAAAACGTGTTCCTCTATCTGATGACATTCCTAGAGGAACCCCAAACCTTGGAATTATATGGTTGAGCAAAACTTTTACCACTTCCCTTGCTGTGTTAGTGCGACAGGGGTAAGCTTCAGGCCATCGTGTCAACCAGTACTAGTATGTACTTGTATCCCTCCCTGGGTGGTAACTCAGCAAAATCTATTTGCCAATAATCTCTGGGAAGGTCCCTGGCCTTTGTTACCCCTGGCACCACTCTCTTGCTTGTGTCAGGATTATTTTGCCTGCAGATTTCACATTTACTTACAATGGATTGCACGACTTTGGTCATACCTGTCCCTGTTACTGCCTTCTTCAAATGTTTTAGGTTTTCTGTTCCCCAGTGGGTAGCCTCCCGTTCCCGCAGAGCTATCTCCCTATGGAGTTGGGGTGTGATTACAACATGTCCTGTAGGTGTAACAGCCTGTCTGCTTTCTTTCATTTCAGCGTTAAGGGTCTTAATTAACTGGTGGTCTTTCTCATCATATTTTGGGGTGAACCCTGTCAGATCGATTTCCTTCTGTGGTATTACTGCTAGGATACCTTTTTCTGCAACCTCTTTTGCCGCCTGGTTGGCGAAATGATTTCCTAATTCAGGAGTTGTTTTCCCCTTCTGATGAGCTCTGCAATGCATGATAGACACTTCCTCAGGCTTCCACATACTCTGCAGGATTTGGTCTGCATGTTTGATCCCACTGCCTTGGGCAATTAGTAGCTCTCTCTCTTTCCAGATGGCTCCATGGGCACGTACAACACTGAATGCATATTTAGAATCAGTCCATGTATTTGCCTTCTTTCCTTCACTCAGTTCGAGAGCTCTTGTCAGTGCAATCAGTTCCGCCTTTTGGGGTGATACATCCGCTGGCAAGGCCTTTGCCCCAGCTACCTCGTCCTTGGTTGTCACTGCATGCCCTGTCATTTGCTTTCCGTCCCTCATGAAACTGCTTCCGTCTGTGTACAGTTCCCAGTTTGGGTTTTCCAGAGGCACATACTTCAGGTCTGGTCTGCTGGAAAAGGCCTCCTCAATGGTCTGCAAACAGTCATGCTCAGGCACACTGTCAGTCAATGTTGAGGACAGAAACATAGGAGGATTTACAATAGATGTTGTTTTCAGGGTAACATCATCCTGTTCCAACAACTCAGCTTGGTATGTAAGCATTCTGCTGGGGGACAGCCAGTGGCCCCCCTTTTCCTCAAGCACAGCTTGGACTGCATGGGGTACATACACGACCATGTGCTGCCCAAGGGTGAGTTTTTGGGCCTCCTGGATCAGGATAACAGTTGCTGCTACAGCTCTCAAACACCTCAGCCACCCTTGGCTAACACTGTCTCGCTGTTTGGAGAAGTAAGCCATAGCCCTTTGCTGGTTTCTCAGGGTCTGTGACAGTACCCCCAGAGCAACATTCAGTTGCTCATATGTGAACAGTTCAAAAGGCTTAGTTAGGTCTGGTAGTCCCAGTGCTCTTTAAGGACTTTAATTCTTTTTAATAATAAAGAATATTTTCCACTGCTGTATCATGCTTGACTGTCTTCACTGATTTCCTACAGAAGCTTTTGTTTCCAGCTGGACTGATACTACACAGTCCAGCAATGGACTTGTACACACTGAGTGGTCCCAGTGGTGAGCCATGAGCACCCGAAGTGCTCAGGCCAAAGGATTGGGAATGTGGAGGGAAACCACAAGCCTAATGACTGAAAAAGTGCTGGAGAGCAGGTGTGCTGGGCAATGAACATACATGCCAGATCTGGCATGCTTTCCTTTTTTGTACTTGGAATGCATTTTTCTCTGGAAGACATGCTGTATCTTGTTTTTTATAAGCTATGGAACGTCTTTCTGTGATGGTTTTTCAAAACCTTTGCTTTGTGTTGTGTTCAGAGGGGTATGTTTCTGGCTTAACCTGTGTCTATAAGGCCTTTTAGCCTCAAAAAAATACTTGGAGCATTCTCCTTGCACTCCTTCAAGTGCTGTTCAGGTTTTCTTCCTGTGTCACTAACGGTCTAACTAGATTCTTGTTCCCTTTTATTAAAAATTAGGAGTAAATTAAGTAACTGGATCAGTAGAGTGCTGTGCACTGGATGAGAAGCCAGTGTATAACAACTATTCAGACCCAACTTGTATATAATGGCAGTGTCATTTTTTTAGCTGCAACTTACCCATAAGCCAGTTTTATTGTAGGAACATATTAGATGATCTGCACCTAGTAGTTGACCTGTGTGTGCTACCATTCAGCACAAAAATAAAATAAAATTAAAATAAAAGTGAGTTGTAAGTGTTGCAGGTAGATGGATCATGCTTGGATCAGGAGCATGAGCTGCATCCATGAATTTGGCCACTGGGTGGGGAACTTTGCCCAGCAATCATAGCTTAGCTACAAATAAGTAGGGTAGTTAGTTTTGGTGGATAGAGATGTGGGTAGAAAGGCTCCAATGTGATGAAAGTGTTTTTTCCTAGGGTTGGATTATTGCTTAGGCTGTGCGTCCTCACACCTTTAACCAGTGTGTCATTCTGAAACTCTGAAAGTCATGAAGTGATGTCTTAAACATGAAGGAGATGAAATTAAAATCAATACTGTAATGTCTTGATAATAATGTCTCTGAACAGACATACCAAAATGTCTTTCCTAGGATTTCTTGATTGTACACCTTATTGCTGTTCTAAAAATATATTTTTCTTTAAGAAATACTTTTAAATTAAACCCATCCTCTTCAGTCAAATGATTTTCTACCACTGAGATACTATTGTGTGTGTACCTATACACCCAAATGTTACTTGAGCAACAGCCAGCCACGCAAATTTTCCCTCTAAAAAGGAGTGGAATGCTGTTAGTTCTCCCCCAGAGGCAGTGCTTGCTGTGACCACAATTAAAGGCTCTAAATCCTCGGGGCAGTAGTTCATCTCTGCTGCTGCTGGTGGCAGTCGTTATCCTCACACAATTCCAGGGAAAAGGGGAGTCCTGGAGCTGGAGCCAAACTACTTGCCCAGAACAATGCCGTGCCCGAGGATGTGTGCTCATTGTTTCAGAACAACCAGAGGCATTAATTTGACCATTCTGGCCGTTCTTTGCCTTAAATTGAACACTTGTGTAATTCTTCATACAAATGGTAGAACAAGTGTCAGCCAAAGCAGCTCAGCCTCTCCAGGAAAGGCTTTGAAACTAGTTTGGACTGAGATTTTTCCTTCTTGATTTTTTCTGAATATTCTAAGTGGTTCTGTTTTGGCTCTTTGCAGAAGGGTTTTAGGTTCCTCCACCTTGAAACAGCTACAGAATTGGATGCTGTCATTTAACACTGTACAAACAACAACAAAGAGCTGCAGAATCACTGGAGCAGGAGCTAAACAGATGTGACACCACTTATTTTGTATTTTCCACTTATTTTCTGACAATGTTACATGCTCTAAATCGGTTGGAATCCTAAACAAATTAAGGGCTCTTTTTTATTCAGGTTATCAATCTTTTTCTTTTCCCTCCCCCAGAATTAATAATGTTCTCCCTTCTGTAGCTTGTACCAATGAAGACTTAGTTTTGTTTTGTCTGAACTTGTGCAGTATTTGCTGCCTATTTATTCATCTTTTAGGCAGAAGTTCTTCTTAACCAATTATTAACATTCATGTGTTCTAAAGTGCTTTTGTGGGGGGGAGAAAGGGATTTTAAGGTTGTCTAAAAAGAGATTTGCAGCTCTTTTAAGCAGGGTTTGCAGTTGCAGATTGCCCTGCCTGGATCCTGGTAGAGCTCTGACCACATTCTCCTGAGTTCCTGGCTGATGTTGCCAGACTCTTTCATTGAGTTCTATGATTTAGGTCTTCATTTCTCTGTGTTCTTACTGGACTAAAAAATATTTAAGGGTTATGAGCAGACTATATGGCTTGAACCAAAAGCCATGACTTTCCGTTCTCCAGCTCTGCATTAAATCTCTTAATTTCATGATCTCCAGAACTCCACTGTCAAAGGTACATCACCTTAACTGCTGCATCTCCTGACTTTTATTTTATTTACCACTCCATCTGCAGTTAACATGGTGGGTCCTTAGGGGAAGCCTGATGGACCAGGAGTATAGAGAAGGGCAGGCTCCTGTGCTAAAGGCAATGGAGTTTTCAGTGCAGTTGAGGGATCCAAAGTACCACAGGTTCTCATTTCTGTTCGCTCAGCAGAAAGCTACTGACTAGAAAAACAACTATTTTAACTTGCAGCACATCACATGGGCAGTGATTTCAGAGGAGATGGGACACCAGCTCGGGAGGGCTGAGTCAAGGCATTTTTTGGCTGTAATTCCTGTTCTCTAGGGTCAAGATAAGGCAGGATCCCTCCTGCCTGGGGTGCCCTGGGAGATCCTCGGGGTTCCTGTTCCCCTCCCCCCAGCTCGTTTTTCACACTGCTGCAGAGGGTGCTGGTTCTGTGCTCATCAACAGCACATAAGCAGCTCATGACCCCAGCAGATGTTTCTGCATTTTAGGCTAATGAGAATTTATTGGATTACTGCAGTCTTCCCTGCCTCAGAGTAAATACCACTTTGTTGGAGATCCGGAAATTCATCCTGAATATGATAAACAAACTGCTGACTGGGCTGGGACTGCCAGGACATGAAAAGAGTTCCAGAGCGGCAGAAGATCTAATAGCTCTGAAATGCACCACCGAGCCACACCAATTAAGAGCATTTCCAGTGATTAAGTGAGCGTTCCTGCTCAACTCAGGAATGGTTTTGGGTTGTTTCTTCCACTGCATTTGTGTGTGGCCTGCAAAGCAAGCACAAGGTTTGCAGAGGAGTCTCAGCTGCCTCTTATTTTAAAATAATTCTGTGATAATGTGTATGCAAGACCTATTGAGTTTCTTGCTTAAATCTTGAATTTTTTGTATTAGGGAAGCAAACACAACTTGCCTCTTCAGACTTTTCTAATCTTTTTATTTGTATAGATAATGTGTATTTGGAGGTGGCCTGTAGGATATCAGAACTTAATTCCACATTTTAGTATCTATTGCACGTGGGAAGTGACTTCACTGTTAATCGGACTATGCACAAACTATGCCAGTCATATGTTGGGGCTGAGAAGAAAACTGTGAAACTATTTCAAAGGAAACTGGGAAGTTATTTCTGACTAAATGTCTCAATGACAGCCACTTCTGATAAGCACAGTGCTCTTCCTTCTAGATGAGTGTCTGCCCCTTTGAATGCTTTCTTAGTACTATTTCTGTCACTTTGTCAGGAATTAAAATGTTTTATTACTGTGAAAGATCAGGCTTTCCTGTTCTACAGATGAATAATAACGATTTTTGACAGAGCTATTTAATAATTATGTTCTCAATATAATTATCCTGTTATATGCTACTCAGATTACACTCTAATTTAAAATGTGCTCTTTAATTATTCTTTCCTTATAATTTTGTTCTAGAGATGCCTGTTTTCCTGGAAGGAGGATCAGTCTGGTTTCCACCACTGTGGACTGATGCATTCTCTGTTAAGCCTTTATCCTGGGGAGCTTCCAAGAGTGTGGCAAAGCCTGGGACATTTGTTTTGCAGTTATCGGTTTCTGTATTTGCTATCTCTGTTTGGCTGTCCCAGAAACACAAAGGGAGAACTAAACTGGGAGTTAAAGAATGAGTGTGGCTTTTTTACCATGAATATAATACTATAAAAATTAATTAAGGCTTTATTCTTGTCTGGTGCTATGTAATGACTGAGACAAACGTTCTTCCATTGGGAAGTGGGGACAAATGATTCTAGAAACTGAGGACTTGTTCTTTATTTCTCGCCCACCTTCTACTGAAATCTAGTGCTTACAGGACTTAACACAAAGCTGAATAAGTAATAGCCTTGGGTTTAGTACAGTATCTTTTCTGTGCACAATTTACATATATACTCTCAAAATCTTTAAATAAGTGAGTACTACCTTTTATAGATCTGATTTGATCATCTATGTGGCAGGTTGGTGACAGCAGTTATGCTGAGGCAATTAACAAGGGCTAATTATTAATGGGGTGGTCCTACCACTTGATTCTTGGGAGTAATCTCACTGATTTGAATTTTGCAGTTTGAGGGGGGATCCAAAAGGATTCACAGCACTCAAAAATTAACATTTTTTGTTTGACAAATGTCTGTCTGATAATTTTCACATTGCATAGTTTATTTATGAGGTAGATGGGACATCGGGGCTATAATTTCTTCTGTAGAGAAGTGACAAGATTGTACAAGGGGTCAGGATGTAAATTAGATCTAGTCAGAACCCATATAGGTGTATTCGCACCTTCTTCTCCTAACTGCTGTCCCTCCCTCACCTTTCTGACAGCAGTATGGCCCCACATGTTTTCAAGTGCCTGAGATTCCTCAAACTTCATGAGGAGCAGAATTACGCATTCAGTAAATGAATAAAAATCCTAGCTATGCACAGTGGGTGAATATGGCCCATGGATCTGACTGATGAATAGTTTTTATACATGGGCAGTTCTTACAGCCTTTAAACTCCTTAACCATTCCCAGATGTGGGTTGCAGGCGGCTGCTGGAATTCCAACACCTGTTGCATCACACTGAATGGGATTCATTTTGGCACGCACAGAAAATTCCATTTCAGTAAGTAAATAGTTTGAAATTATATCTAAAGCCTCCTTTTTTTTTTCAGACGAAGCTGATCCCAGCCTTATTTACAGGATTGCACATACTTTCATAATTAGAAGATGGTTTACTTTAGAGGTTGTAATTACCTGAGATTTCTTGTACTCAGTAAATGTCAAACAGAAATTCTTCAGTTTAGAAGAAATCTCACCTTTAAAAAAGTTAGTTATTCCAAAGGGCTCTATTCCACATAAGGGGAATTTCTAGCTGTGCTTTTTGAAATGTAGAAATACACATTTGTGTATTATTCTGAAGATGATGGAGCTCCATTTTAGAGCTACACTTTGCTCCACTTATCAATTCATTGCTGAATCCTGTTGCTTCTTTCGAGTCCTTACCCAGAGCTTTCTCAAAGATGAAATGTGGGTGACAGGATGGGTGTTCAGTGGCACTTGGTGATTTTTTTGGTACATATCCTGCAGATCTCAAGTATGAGTCTGTAATAACCATTTGTGGTTTGCTCTAGAAAAGTATGTGTAGAGATAATTATTTTTTCAAAAGCATGATGATGTTTCAGCCCAAACATACCTGATCTCTGCAGGGCTTCTATCAAAGTCAGTAGTTTGGTTGGTGAGATATTGTACTTTAGTTTGAGGCTGCCATACCATGAGAACAGCAGAGGTGCTTCATTTTCATTTTTTGCCTTCTTTAATATGATGAATATGATGAAGCCGAAAAAGAATTTGGAATTAGCAGATTTTGCTTTTTCTTTAGTTTGTCTCAAAAGCCCTGAACAAACAAACAAACAAAAAGCCAAACCCAAAACATTCCCCCTTTAATGTACTTTCTAATAAGTTCCTTCTCACAGTGCATGGTTTCCTTGGGAAGTGATCCCTGTGGTTCTAGAGTCTAGTCTTGTCTAATTTGTCAAAATGTGTTCATTCTTCTTCTAGATTTGTTCTGCCTCTCCACAAAAATAAGGCAGGGCTGGTTTAGGTTAGATTTAAGTAGGAAAATGTAACCATGTCTAGCAGTGTTATCCACTATTGAAGATAATCTGAATTTATCAAAAACCTACTGAGTTAATGATTTTATTTTAAAGAGAAGACATATTAAAGTAAGTTTCAAGTAAGATAAAAATTTAGGCACCATTTATTTATCTCCTGGTTAAGGACTGATCAGCCTCTGAGTCCTGTTGCTGAAATTGTCAGGGAATCCTTGTTCCTTTTGATGACTTTGTGCTTTTAGGGAATGGATTGCCTTGCAGAAAATGTGGTAGCTAGGAATGACAGTGCTGAAATATATATCGTAGCTGAAATTATTTAAAGATGGAGAAAAATAACAGCAGCTTTAGCAACTTGCTCTTTTTCTTGTCAGAAGCCAGAAGGAAGGGACTTTGGGAAACTCTTGAGCTGACTTGGATACAAATGTGTATTTTTGCTAAATAAAATGCTGGGGTCCATACCTGTGATTTTGAGAAGAAATGAAACTGAGGGTCAAATATTGGAGCCAACCTAGAATAAAAGGTTATAAGTTTTTTCTGTTTTCCTGGTACTTTACCTTAAGCCAGGTGTGTAGTATTTGGGGGAAACATGTTGGGGGAAACAAACTGCCTATATTGAGGGGTTTCATTTATTTCTGGGGCAAGAATTCCGCTCTGTTGGAGCATTTAATCCGTCACTGTTGTGACATTTTTCATCATCTCGAATCTCTGCTCTTGCTTTGGATTTGCTTTCCCCTGGTTTGTGTGAGCTCTACTCTTAAGCTGCACCTCTTCAGACTGGTGCAGGGAGAGCTCCCTCTCCTGTCCCGAGCCCCTGGAAGCGCTGGCTGGGACAGAGGGATGGAGATGGATAGACTCGGGCCTAGGGATGGAGGAGGATAAAAAAATCCGGTAAAAAAACAGAGTAGCATCAGTACTGGCACTGGATTTTGGGTTGGGAAGCAGTTCTTTGGCAGCGCGCAGTGGAGTCCCTCGGCGTGCAGAGGCTCAGTTACCGGGAACACACCGTGCTGGGAGTGCCGGATCATTGGATCTTTGGTAAACTCGGCTTTCGCGTCTGTGGCACCTCAGGGACTCGGGAGGAAGGCGGAGGAGCCCGGGCGGGTCTCCGGGGGGCACTTTGGGCTGGGGAGTAGAGGCGCCGGTGCCGCAGTAACCCCGGAGACAGGCGGGGACACCCGGCCCGACTGCGCTGTCAGCGCTGCCGGAGGTGCGGAGCCGGGCGGGAGCACACCTGGGGCCGTGCGGGGCGGGCCCCGCTGCCAGCGAGGGGCGGGGCACGGCAGACAAAGAGCAAAGAGCCGGGGCCGAGCGGGGCACCGGGCCAGGAGGGGGGCGGCCCGGGGGCGGGGACGCGGGCGGGCGGCGGCCAGAGGCACCGGGGAGCCGAAGCCGAGTGCAAGCCAAGCTAAGCAAGCTAAAGCTAAGTAAGCTAAGCTAAGCTAAGCCAAGCCCGGGCGCGGGCGGCGGAGGCTCGGGCTGCAGTCAGCCACGAACAAAAGGCTCCTGGAGCTGCTCGCCCCGAACGGGATTCGCGATACCATGTCTCGCTGCAGCCCCTGGGCGCTACTTTTCGCCCTGGGCAGTCTGAGCGCTGCACAGCCCCGAGACCGGCAGTAAGTACCGGGAGGAGCTCGGGGCAGCATCCCCGGGCAGGGCGGCGGGGCGAGAACCCCTCTGCGAACCCCTCTGCTCGGGGGGAGCCGCATCAGCCTCTTAACAAAGCCCGCGGAGCCCGCCGGAGGGGTTGGAGGCTGCGGCAGCGGCACGTTTGTACTCGCCGGTGCAAAAGTGCACAGCGAAGGGAAAGGGAGGGAAAAAAAAAAAAGAAGGAGAAAGCTCCCTTGCAATACCTGCCTCCAGCTGCTCCGGCGAGCGGCTGCAAAGCTTCTATCTGCGAGCAATTATTTAAGGAATCCGGGGTGTTGCGCTGGGGGTGGTTGAAGGTAATGCTGGGCGCTCATGAGGAGCGTGTGAAGATCCTGTGGGGGAAGATTAGCCGGGGAGAAACTGCGGGGAAGTTCTCTGGCTTTCAGCTCGTTCTGCGTGTTTAGGTTAATTTTGAACCTACAGCTAGTTCTAGTGTGTTTAGGTTAATTTTGATTAAGGTTTGCTTTGTTCTTTGTGCCTAGCTTGTTGTAGCCCGTCAACAACGTGAATAGCTGCATTAACTGAGTGCCATGGAGAACTTATTTTCACTTGCTTACTAGAAAATATTTCGCATCCTGCCAAGTTTTGGTGTAACCTGACAGAGCCGATAGTCAAATGTGTTTAAAGGATCTGTCCCGTCACTGTCAAGTTAACGCTTTGAGTGCAAAGTTAAATATTTAATATTTAAATGCCACTTAAAAAGTGATTTAAATATTTGTGTCAAGGGATTGGTACTTCAGAAAGAGTTGCAGAGATTCAGAACAATATGAGTACATGTGCTTCACATATGGCACTGCAGAGCTGGGCTTATGTGACAGTTTAAATCCTATCATTTCATCCTGAATACAGCTAGTAGTCTTTCTTCCTCTGCAACTAGATCAGCTATCTCTTTCTTACCAAGAATTTGCAGGCTCAGTAGTAACTTTTTATTGTTATTCATTACTGCTCTGATGAACTTTCAAACCTAGCAGCCAGAAGTTTTTGAATCTGCAAGTACCCCATGCAATTTAACTTGAATGCCACAGAGTTCTGAACTTCCTTTGGGGGTAATGGGATCTCCATGGCAATGAGGCCTGCTGAGAGAGAAATATGGGCTTGGAATTTGATAAAAGATGACTTGGGGGCTGTAAAACACCATCGTCCTCATCCCAAAGTGATAATTAATCATGAGCTAAAGCAACCTGGTTTGGGAGACTGTAGAAAGGCATGGGCTGAGAAACTGGGCTCCAAGAGGCATCTTGGGAATTGCCTCATATTAAAAAAAATCCTTTTTGGTAGAAAAAAACCCCAGAAAGGTGTGTCATGAAGAAAATATAAATGCATAGAAGAGCTCAGAGCCTGTAATGCTTTTAGTTGACAAGTTCCTGGCACGGTGCCATTCTTGGAGGAGTGGTGCAGATTCCATTCACAAATACTCAGGTTGCAGCATCTCTGGGAGGTCGTCTGGGGTGGCTTTAAAACTCTGCATGTGCCTGCTAAAATAATGCCTTTTTGCTGGTATTTTTATACTTGCAGGTCATAATTGTTTAAATAAAAAAGTGGGAATTTGAGCCTAATCTTGTAACTGCTGCTTCTGTATAAACTGGAAGTTCAGGTGTGTTACATGTGTGTGAGTCTGATGTTTAGAAAGGGCCAAGTATCAGGTCTGAGAACTGTGAAAATGAAGCAATGAAAAATGATTGAGGTAAAAATGTTACAAGTATCTAAACTGTTTCAAAACAAAGCATTAGCTGCAAAACTCTATCAGAGGTCCAGGTACCTCCTTATTCCTTCATGAACTTTATGATTTTTTATGATTAGCTGGTTGTATGTTTAGTTTGTTACATATAATATATAATCAGCTCATTGTATCTTTAGTTTGCTACATATAAATGTATATTATATATATGCAATAAACATTGATATTGAACTCTTTTTATTTAAATCTTAAGGATTTATAAGCCATTTGTAAGCACTTAGGTTTGTTTCTGTGTGCATCCTGTGTTCTTTTATTCATATTAGATACAGTCTTAGACTGCTGGTGGTCACAAACGTGACCATACAGGAACAAATGTGTCGCAGAGTAGTTAGTTCTTTTCCTTTTGCTCCACATAAAGTGGCTCACAAATGATGATAATGCTCTTATTGCTGAGTCTTGACTGATTACTTCTAATTTTGGTTCTCAGGGGTTATTTGATTGCAGCACCTTCTGTTTTCCGAGCTGG